ATGTATCATTTGAAACTAACCTGGATTGCCCAAAGACAACTGCTTGAGAAGCTCACTTAAATGTATATCATGATGCAGAAATAAATACCCAAACAAAACCTAACTGAAATGAGGAAAATGCAGCCTGTAGATACTAAAACTTTGCAGGACATTAGACTGCAATTGATTCTCCCTTAACCTGCACAAATAGTTTTACCGCCTGGGCAATCTTAAAGTCCCTGTTGTAATTTCCTGATAGAATCGCAAGTCTACTGCCACAAAAAATACCCCTTCCCCTTTTCCCGTGTGCAGAGAAGCACGGAGGCAAAGAGCAGCCACTTCCCGGGGAAAGCAGTGAATCTCTCCCAGCGCCAGGTGTGGACCACGAAGCTTTCTCCTGGAGAAGGGCGTCTCTCCTTCGGCTTGAATCGCCTTATGGCAGGAGCTAGAGCGTAACAGAAAGTACTCAAAAAGGAAAGTGCTGGGGCGAGCGTGGAAGACATAACCCAGCTTCAAGCTATCTGCACAATTATAATGTCCAGGAACCCGGCACTCTATTTTCCCCCAAAAGGGCAAAGAAGGAAAAAAGCTACCAGCAACACGAGCTGTAACGCGCAGAGGATAGGTGTGGGCAGAGCTTTTGAGGGTCGCGCTGGCTGGAGATTTCTGCAGACAAACGACCTTCCCGATTCTCCGGCCACCTCGGGCGGCCCGGATTCCCGGTGTCCAGTGGGCACCTCCCGCCCACTTTTCCGCGCAGGTGCACCGGTCCGCACCCTTTACCTGCAACCTACTCGCCCTCTTCACTTACCGCGGGCGCCGGGGTCCCTGGCCGACGCTGTTGCCGAGGTCGCGGGGGCGCTCGCTGGGCTGGGCGCACGGGTAGGCGGGAAGCCACGGTCGCACCCGGAGCTAGCAGCCCTGTGCAGAGAACGCAGCCCCGCGGCGCCCCCTCCCCCAGAGGGCGGGGACAGACAGCCGGCTGCACCAATGAGCGCGGAGGGTGCGGGCGCGGGACGGGGCCGGGCTAGGGGCGGTGGGCGCGGGGGAGAGTGAGGGGGTGATCGGGAGGTCTTTCCGAGAGCAGTTCGCCCAGCCACAGGCGCTCCCAGCCTGGCGCGAATCCCCGGCGCGCGACCACATCGGGGGCCACCGAGAAAGAGAGGGCTGGCAGATGGGGAGGGGACCAGGGTCATAAGCCTCCCATTTTCTCAGACGCAAAGTAGCAAAATCCAATTTTAAATTATGGCACTCCCAGTATAAATCGCCCCACTGAATATTTAAGTCACAGCAGATACCACATTTTCAAAGTAGGATTCAAAACTGTGCAGAGTGAATCTCGTTTGGCGAGAAAATTACATGGACTGAGAGAGAAAAACCTCATTACACCCAAACCCACTCCTGGAAAAGTTTTGGTTATCAAAGGGTTCATTGCCAAATCCTCTCAGAGGCCCAAGACACAAACCCGTGTCTTCATAAGTATCTAGAAGGCAGGCAGAGATGATGCAACCTGTGTGCCATCGAGGTCAGAACACAGGAACCCAGCCCCATCCATCCTTTATACCTTATATATATTTCCAAGAATAAGTAGCTTACAAGTTATCCATGTTTCCCTTCAGGATATTCCTAGGTGCCTGCTTAACCTTGTTCCTCTCAAGCAGGGCGTGGAGAATAGGAGACATCTTTCCTCACAATTCCAGTCCTGATCAGAGCAAAGGGCACAGGCAATATCTACCCTCCTGCCTGACTAGGCAGGCTGTGTATTTTCACACATTTTGAGTCTTTAAACAAGTTCCTAGCCTTAGTGAAAAGCACCATAAGCATTTATTTGTACACATAATCCATTGTGTACAATGCATTTAACACTAATGAAAGGTGTTACAATGAGAGTGGGCTTAATGTTACCTACAACGGCATTCCTGGGAGCTCCAGAGGTGAGGTCCCGTGGGATGCACAATTCCTGCCTTCTCCTCTGGCCCCTCCCAGGCAGATGAAGAACCTATTAAGATGGAGGGAAGAACTACTGAAAAGTAGTTGTACTTAACTCTTTTCTTCAATAGGATCATGATCTTTGAGAGTAAACCTCAGTTACCCATTTTTGGATGTTTTTCCAGGAATATATTTTACCTCTAAGTTTCTATAGCTTCCACTGAAACTTATTAAGCAAAGCACTATTAGGACACAACAGCAAAGCTGAATCTAAGCTGTCAAGATCTTAGAGACAAGAGCTGTAAAACAGGAAAATCCATAAGCATCTAATTTATAGTAGTTATAATTAAGAATTCAATTTATCTTTGTTCATTCATTGAATACCAGGCTGTGAAGATGTTTTATATCCCCAGATGAGTTACTAACCCTGCTTACTGTCAGTTTTGAACTTTAAACAAGCCAAAAGAAATCCATGCCACTCATAACCAACTGAGATGCAATTACTTATTGAGATCCAAGTTTTCTCAAATCTAGCAGATCTGGGAGTTTGCAACAATTTCAGGCAAAAATAAGATGAGCTTATCTAGATGAAGACAGGGTAGAATAGCTGTGTTATTAGGAACTAACTGGAAATGAAATCAGCGATAGGTTAAAAGCAATAAAGGCTATCCTAAGGACTTGTAAGATCTTATCCCACTTGCTTTTCTTAAAAAAAAAACCGACTACTGAAAGGGAACTGAAGAGTGGTTTGAGGTAAGAGGTGAATTGATTTTGTATTTGAAGGGCAGATTTCTGTAAGGTGTATTACATATAACTCATCTCCAACCTCCAACACACACACACTCACAGAGTACAGAACTATAAATAAGATACTGCACTGTCGTTTTTCTTTAGAATACAACTAGAACCCGATGCCATATCTGAGTTAAAAAAAAATGTATCCAGTACCTCATACATGAAAGAAACCTGTCATCCTTGAACTCACTTGTGACAGTTAGTAAGTTATTACCCATATCATTGTCTGCTACTCAATTAGTAGCTTTTCATTATATAATGAGAAACAGGCTCTAAATATATCTCCAATCTGATGAGAAATTATCCTACCTACAGCTTACCTTGTTAACATCACCAGATACAGCGTGCCAATAAAATCACTTGCTTATTTATCTGATCTCTACTGATCATACCGTTTCTCCCATCCTGGTCCCTATTCACCCACAGCCTGGGCCTGTAGCTACCAAACCATGAAACAATGGTTAAGTGTCCATCAGAAGGACTGTTTAAATACTCCACAGCCATATGAAACAAGATGAATCCCAAACTGCTGATGGAGTAAGACCTCCAAGGTATATTGCCAAGTGGAAAGAGCAAATTGTACCATTTGAATTTTTACTGAAGGCATATTTTACTTCTAGGAAAATTCTTGCATTAGTCCATTCACTCCAAGCAATACCTGGTAAAGACAATTTGGCTTATTTATTATATTAGGGCTGTTTATAATTTTTGCCTTATAAACCTCCACTTACCCTCTCCCACCAACTGTGTTCACTACTTCTATCAATATTAAAGATTTAAACCCACACAGCAGGGACTTCCCTGGTGGTCCAGTGGTTAAGACTCCGGGCTTCCAATGCAGGGGGTGCAGTCGGGGAACTAGGATCCCACATGCCGTGGGGTGCGACCAGAAAAATTTTTTAATTAAATAAATAAATAAACCCACATGGCTTTTGGTGATATGAGGAAGCCTAAATTCCTTAAGGTGATCTTTAAGTCACCACGTCTGACAATAGACTGCTTTCTTCCCCTGTTTACAAATTGAATTCCCAGAAAGTCCCATCCAGATGAGGTTTTATAGGACATTTTAAAAAACACTAGAAACAATGAACTCTGTGCAGACAGGGCCCAAATGATGCTTTTGAACAGGAAATGACATCACTGAGTGTGTACAATGTGCCAGGCAGTATACAAAGCATGGTGGAGCTGGGGCTCTGTGCTCATGACCCCTTTGCCATATGCCCTCCGAAGCAGTCATCATTTCTTTAAACTGCAAAACCGACACTATTACAATCACACCTAGGGGATTAAAAATAATAAAACCAAGGACACCAGGAAAAACACTGCTCTGCCCATGCTAGCAGTCTTTTAGCACTGGCACCGGTGGGGATGCAACATCTTCTGGAAGGATCCAATGCAGGAAGAAGGGGAAAAGGGAGGAAAGATGGGAGAGGAAGAACAGAGTTAGAAGATAAAGAACAAGAAGAGAAGTGAAAACATGTGAGGGAAAAAACATCCTGTAGGGAGGGAGAGAGAGCTCAGGCACAGGGCAGAAGCTCAATAAACATGTGCTGACCCAACAGAGCAGAAAGAGCTACCCTACAGTTAATGCTGTATGACCATCCTTCCTGAGGACTTATTAAAAATAAGTTAATGCTGGGCTTCCCTGGTGGCACAGTGGTTAAGAATCTGTCTGCCAATGCAGGGGATACAGGTTCAAGCCCTGGCCCGGGAAGCTTCCACATGCCGTGGAGCAACTAAGCCCATGTGCCACAACTACTGAGCCTGCGAGCCACAACTACTGAAGCCCGCTTGCCTAGAGCCCGTGCTCTGCAACAAGAGAAGCCATCGCAGTGAGAATCCCGTGCACGGCAACGAAGAGTAGCCCCTGCTCTCCGCCACTAGAGAAAGTCCGCACGCAGCAACGGAGACCCAACGCAGCCAAAAAAATATATAAATAAAATAAAATTTTAAAAAATGGTGCTAAAGCTGTGACAGAAACGGGAATTCTAAGGAAATTCAGGACAAAAACCTGTGTAAGCAATACTTTCTCGGTGTAAAAAAAAAAGAACAATACAGAAAAGTATATGACAAAAAGGCACGTCCTCCGGATTCTACTTCTCCCTCAGCCCTCTCAGGAGGTCTCCTGTCCTCCCAGAAACACACAAGCCATGCACCTTTCCCCCTTTAAACACAATGTATCATACAGTACACACTACAACTTGCTTCTTCAGTCCCAGGGGTCTCCCGGGTCACACAGGACAGCAGAGCTAGGGCAGCAGTCTGTTAATGCTACAATTTATATTTGAACACCGAGATTGCAAAATTATTTACTTTTATTCTATGGATGCAGTAAAGTAATTAGGCATGTGCATGAATGATTTGTGTTGATTTATACACAATGGTGGGAATTAAGACTGAAGAAAGGCTTCTGGGAAAACTCCCACTACTTATTTTTCAGAAAATCTTCGGGGCCGGGACTGACTTCTCTCAACTTCCACACACTTCCCGATAGGAGGCCTGAATAAACACTAGCCAAACTTTCAAAGTTGCTTCTTGAAGATGGACAATCTGGAAGGAAAATGAAACAAGAAATAGTTTTTTCTAAGCGCTGAAACATCTCCTCTTCCCTTCCACACAGCACCATCACCCTCTCTCACTGTCAAAGTTGTCAACATTTACCTCCCTTCCCACTGCCAGCTCTTCTGGGGTCTGTCCATAGACTTGAAGACAATGCACAGCATTTACATTATGGCTGTGTGAATACTGTTCAAGCATGGTACCAAGCATGAGCCAGGATGACATTTCTGTGTGCTCCCCCAGCATCTAGCACATGGTCTCTCTGCTGTGTAAGCAGAGGTGCTTCTATGAGCAACCACCCTTACAGTTGCCCAGATGATGGCCACGGTTTGCTTCCACCTGGACCTTTACATTCTTAAACAATGTTAGAGCTTTTCTTTTGCATAATTACCCTTTTGACACCCTTGTCTTTCTAGCTCTCTCTGCTCTTTCTCAATTCCTCCCTTCTCCTCTTCCATGTGGGATTTGTAACTCTGGGTCACCTGCAGTTGTCAGGACTCCCCTTCTTTACAGTCCAGACCAGGCTTTGGTTTCCTGAAAACCGTGTCTCCCTTTTCTTTGGTCTTCGCTGTGCTGGAGTACACTGCTAAATCCCTTCCTAGGAAGAGGCGTCGGGGTGCCAAACTGTGCGTGTCTGAAAACCTCTGGATAGATTTGGTGGGTGTAAACACAGGTGGAAAGTCATCTTTCCCCGTAGACCTGGAGGGCATTCCTCCACTGTCTAGGAGCCTTTTACTGCTGATAAGAAGACAGGGGTTCAGGCTAATTCTCAGTTTTTTTCATAGGCAAAAGCCATTTCTTCTTCTTTGGAGAGGATTTTTAGGATTTTCATCTTTGATGTTTCTGAAATTTCACCTGGATATGTCCAGGGGTGGTCCATTCATTGTGATGAGTACTTGGGGGCCCTTCACTTAAGACCCAAGAACTCCTGGACTGGTCCTGCTTCTCTTTTCTACTTTCTGGGACATTTACTCACTCTTGTGTGCCAACTGTCTATTCAGAGTATGCAGACCTTCAGCTGCTCCTGCCCTCCAATGTGCCATCACCTCCAAGCCCGGAGCCTCCTGGGGCTCCACAGAGGAGGTCTAACCTCCACTGGGGTCCCTCCTTAGTTCACTGGATGGCGCCTTTCCACCCTACGCTGCCAAACTGTGATGAACCCTCTGCTCTCCTTCCAAAAATGCTGAAATGTAAGTACTTCATTCATTGGTTACACTACTGCCCCCTCTCCTCACTGATGTCTGGAAAGAAATCTTTTGAAAGCACTGAATTTGCGCTTTCATAGCTTTAGCTGGAGTCCTATAATTCATAAACATGCCTCATAAGGAAAAAAGCAGAACTTTCACCAGAAACAACTTACCTGTTTAGAACAGCCCATTCACCTGCTCAGTTTCAGGGTCCAAATCAATATCATAGAAACAGGGCCGGGTAGGGAGTCCAGGCATGGTGCTCATCTAGGAGATGCAAAATAGCATTACAAACAAACTTAATATGATTTTTTTTTCACCTTCCCTTCAGCTAGAAAGCTCAAGGCACAAAGACAGAATATTATTTTATAGTTAACCATAAAATGGCACTCTTCATGTTACATATTAAAAACTAAGTCACTGATCCTGTTATGATCTGAGAGAGAAACCCTGGAGTCCTCCAGCAAACCAAACACCAGATTTCCTCATGGGCTCCCACACAAACTGGTGCAATAAGAGGCTGAGGAGGTGCCTCCACCTTCGTCCCACAATGGCAGGTGCTGGGGGGGCTGAGGAGTCAGTTATTCACCCCCTCGGTCCTCACATCACAAAACCAAAAGGAGGTACAGGGCTTGTCTGCTGTTTAATTTTGTTTTAATGAGTCTTGTGTAGATACCCATATTATTTTTGCTTCAGCAACACAACATTCGGAATCAGTATCCTTTAACTTGGGCCAAGACATTTCTGTACCTAATCTAGATGGTTTTACAATCACTGTTCTTACTGGTCCAATTTGGCCTTCTAAACCTGAACTTGCAATGCTCATGTATTTTATTTACACTTGCTTCTTTTTCTAAAGAGCTGGCTTTGACAAACATCTACTTAGATATAAATCTGTAAGGCTTGTAAGTGGAAAACTCAGTATATTTTTAACCTGTAACAATGTCCTTTATAATGAATACATACATACAAGTTTCAAATCAGATCTAGACAGGAAAAGAGTTTAAGTGGAACTTCTACAACTTAACTATAAAAATGTCATAGAGGGCTTCCCTGGTGGCACAGTGGTTGGGAGTCTGCCTGCCGATGCAGGGGACACGGGTTCGTGCCCCGGTCCGGGAAGATCCCACATGCCGCGGAGCAGCTGGGCCCGTGAGCCATGGCCACTGAGCCTGCGCGTCCGGAGCCTGTGCTCCGCAATGGGAGAGGCCACAACAGTGAGAGGCCTGTGTACCGCAAAAAAACCCACAAAACCTGGTTCTGACATCTGAGCGCCAATCAATACTTCCTAGAACGTACTACAGGTAGCTGTCATGGGTCTCTGTTATCACATTCTGTAAGAGATAAGCAACTGCTGAGTGCGGGGACAAGGAGGAAAAAGGAAGGGACTGGTCCTCCGCCCTAGCCTAAGAGCCTGAAGATGACACTAAAGATGAAGGACAGGGCTTCCCTGGTGGCACAGTGGTTGAGAGTCTGCCTGCCAACACAGGGGACACGGGTTCAAGCCCTGCTCTGGGAAGATCCCACATGCTGCGGAGCAACTAGGCCCGTGAGCCACAACTATTGAGCCTGCGCATCTGGAGCCTGTGCTCCGCAACAAGAGAGGCCGCGATAGTGAGAGGCCCGCGTACCGCGATGAAGAGTGGCCCCCGCTTCCTGCAACTAGAGAAAGCCCTCGCACAGAAACGAAGACCCAACGCAGCCAAAAATAAAAATAAATAAATAAATAAAATAAAAAAGATGAAGGACAGGTGCCCACTGATGTAGACACGCATGTGCACATGGGCAGAAAATTCTGAAGATAATTCCCAAAATAGCGATTAGTAGAATTATCAGTACTACTCTTTCCCAAAGAGGACTTTTTTCCCCTTAAACATTGGTCATGTTGATAATCAGAAAATGTTTTTAAAAGAAAAGAGTATGTGTACATACATATAAGAACTTAGATATAAAACTCCAAAAAGAAGCCACCACACCTTGAATTAGTACATAAAATGCTCTCAAGTCCTCTGAACCCTGTTCAGGCCCCAACAGCAATCAGAAACCCTGAAGAACAGTAATTGTTAAGGCGTCTAGATTATGTGCGGAAACGTCTTGGTCCAGGTGGGCTTCTAAGGTGAGAGTCTGTTCTGGATGAGAAAATCCCAGCCTGACACTTTCAGCTTTGCTTTCGTCTCTACAGCCACCCCTCTGCACCCACACATCAAAGTAGCAGCGACAATACTGCTCCTTCAGCTGCTAGGTGCTGATAATTTCTCCGGAAACAACACACGTTCTGCAGTATTCGAGGTGCTGGGTAAATGGTTTAACGTTCCTACTGAAAGGGAATTTCTACAAACCCCAGGCACTGATGAACCTCGGAGCAGAGCGACGCATGCCTTGTGCCTCTGGAGGGAGGGGCTGAGGGGCACTGGTGCACACACCCTGTCTGACCACCACTGTGACGCGATGATGCTGCCCCACAGAGAGCTGACAAGAGCAGGGCTCACACCTTTAATAACCTGCCCAAGGCCAAAACCAGCAGGGGTGAAAGTGGATTCAGTTTTAATGTTCCGTACTTTCAACTATCATATCACCTCCTACTGCTTTCTTACTATACTGAAAGAAGCTCCAAAAGGAGGTCTATTGGTTTCCTTTACTTGCGTATTGGCTTAGTTTACTATTTCGATCCTGTATTGCGGTAAGAACCATCTGCAGATGTAGGATACTGGGCGGATCTGTGGGGGAACCTGGGCCCAGGATCAATGCAGACCCTGGGACAAAGTTAGTCCAAACTGCAAGTATGTCCTTAAGCTTTCCTCTACCTCCCTATTAGCAATTTTCCTCCTTAAACATGCATGAAACCTGTAAGATAAGATTTGATAATCAAATCATCTCAAAGTGTAAATAAACCCCCTCACCTTTCATATCTACAGGGTTCACTCACATTTTAAGGGGAAAATTCTTTACTCAAAAATGATGCATTCCCTGAATTTCAGGCATAAACTCCAGGCCTGTCGAGAAGACCTGGGAGGTGCAGAGCCTCAAAGGGGCTGTTGGGAGGACCGAGTCAGTCTGTGAAAGGTGCCCAAAAAAGTCAGTTGTGATTATATATAAGCACCACTACAGCCTACCAATCAAGCCCATCCTGGATTCAGTCAAGGTCATACTGCCACTGGGAAACAGTATTATTATTCAGTACAAGCAGTCATAGCATCATCCTTGAACTGAGACCAAGATGGTCCATAGCAAGACGATTCATCGTAACGGGCCCGACTCCAGCTTTCTCCTCAGCAATGAACTCTGCTAATTCGGCATTTGCGTGATGGCTTCAGTAATCAATTTAAGAAGCACGGGTAAACAAGCAGCGCTCTCTGCTTGCAGTGCTCACTCACCGTTCCCACCAGGGGGTACAGAAAGCCAGCCCCAACGCTGGCGCGGATGTCGCGAATGGGGAGGACAAAGCCAGTGGGCACGCCTTTTTGCTCTGGGTTGTGAGACAAGGACAAGTGTGTCTTGGCCATGCAGATGGGCAGATTCCCAAAGCCCTGGGGAAAGACAGGAACAGAAGTGGGACAAATGAAAGGCTGGCAACGCAACCAAGAACATCCGGGCACTGTGCTGATATGGCTTCTGCAATTTATTTGAAACATCCAACTCCCTTTACATACATCTCTACATCACTGCCCTCCTCCAGCTTAGGTATTACTGATTAGAAAAAAAAAAAACCTTTGTTGGGTGAAGGAGGTAAGCACTCACAACCATATCCCACAAGTGAATATTTCACTTTCATTTATATAACCAGTTAAAAATGATAGCTTGGAGCAGACATGAAGGTACGACTAAAGGCTCTCAATAAAGACACCCCATATTTCCTCATGGCTTTCCCACGCTCACATACCACCTCTGGGTAGATAAAGAACTTGGGACCAGACCACCTAATCCACGCTCAGTATTTAAGAGGGGAGAAGGCTGCCGCCCAGAGGAGGGAAGCAATGCCTGGTGGGCTGGAAGAATGCAGGGATTCTGACCCCAAGGCCTGCTGGATAAAGAGCTGAAAGAACCAACCAAACATCTACCTGCTTTGTGTAGACTTCAGCTTTGTGCTGTGCTTCCGGGAGCAATTCAATGTCATCTGCCCCATAGATCTTCTGTGCAATGATCCTGATTTTATCCTCAACTGGGAGCTAACAGACAGGAAAGAGAGGGGAGACCATGACTAGACACCCATGAGGACACGAACCTTTACTTACAGCCATGTTCCAGGTCAGAGTCCCCAAAAGGGCCAGAGAACTTTTTATACACATACACAAACAGGCAAATAGTTTGAGGTTTATTGGATTAGAACTTTTTTTTCTACCAAGCCCCAGATTTTATACGTGGAAAATGTCCCACAGGTGTAAAATTACTGTGTGTGTGTGTATTTAAGACCTCACTGTCATAAACAATACTGCTCACTACTCAAGAATAACTATTTCTTCATAAATAAAATATAATGCTTCAATAACGAAGATCAGTCTCCTGTCAAAGCAGACCTGGGATACTGTTTATGAACTAAGGCAACTGATGTCCATTCACAGACCCCCTGGTGTGTACAGGACAGGCAGATGCTATCTTTAACACAACATACCGATTGTTAATTGCTGCTACTTAGAAATTGTTATAAAAACAAGACCATCTACATATATATATATTTCTTTAGATCATCTACATATTTAAACAACCTAGTGACTTACACAACCAACATGCAATGGGTGTGGTGGGAAAGGATATGCTTTCCATGGCACCTGTGCAAACAGTGCAGCAGAGGGAGGCCAGTGGTCCAACCAGTGACCTCTAGGTCTAACAAGGAAGCCCAGGGCTGCTTCCTCCAGGGCAAAGCTTTTGGAAGTGGGGCCTGGCCTCTTAAATGCTCCTGGAGCCTAGCTCAAGGCACTAGGATTCAGAGCAAACAGCACAGGGAGAAACTACCCGAAGGAAATGGGAAGGACAGCTACTCACAGGTAACCTGGGGGAGCAAATCACTGAAATTAGGCAATATCAGACTCTATGCCCCCTAGCAACTAAGGCTAAGAGAACACTGAGTTTTGTTTTGTGAAAGAAATATCTTAAATAATGAAAATAAACATTTTCTTTTCAACTAAACAGTGATCATTTATGAAGGGGCTTTGTATAATGGATATAAATAAATATAATTGTCTATTCAATTACAGCTTTATAAAGATCCAACAGGAACTACTTTCATATGCCTCTTATAATTGGAGCTCTATAAATGCCAAGGCATATTCAGAACTTCTGAAGCAAAAGTACTTCCGTTGAAGAGTGATTTAAGACCAACAGATGCTTAGGACAAAAAGTGGCAGCCTCCTGTTTGTCAGAACAGAGAAAAGTTCCAAGTAGAAATGGGTTATAAAGTCCTCATTACCCCACTTCTTCCAGGCTTCCTGCTCGCCTTCAAGGACTGAGTTTCCTAATTCAGGTACTGTGGATGTGGCTTAGAAAGGGTGCCTATAAATGCTTTGTATTTGTGTGCAAACTTGTGTTTAGGGCATTTCCTAAAAAGATGGTTGGTTGAACAGGTTTTCAAACCAGTCTATAAAACTAAAGCTCAACAGGAAAATGTCCATGTCAATAGGAGAATGTTAATTAATTGTAACTAAGATATTAGAGGATTCTACCTGCAAGGGGCAAAGAAAACGAGATTGTTAAAATTCAAGAGTAATAGGGTTTCTTCCGTCTACCTTTTTATGGCTATTTTTGAAAGTTTATGATTATCTTCTAAAAACCAAGCCAAAAAGCAGCCTAGATAATACAAGCAGAACTAGCTTCAAAATCCATCCCATGTTCCTAACAGTTTCCAATTATTGTGGGCATACTACTGAATGTCTAATCACATCCTGAAATACACAGAGAACTGAAAACAAAATACAACCCTATAATAACAACATTTTTGTGAACTGTCTTTACTGCATCCCAGAATAAGCAGTGCTTCTGCCTGAGCCAGATGTACCATAATTTACTCAGTGATGGAAAGAATGCTGAAGCCTGCCAAGGTGCTTTGGTTTTGCACCTGAGTGCTTCTCTGAACTTGAGGCAGCGCCCGTACCAGGAAGTGCACTTCAGACCACACTACTTTCCCCTATATTGGGGAAAATGTTTCTGAGTTTGATGTAGCCCCTTGCCAATTTGCCATGACTCTTGCTTCTATATGTAACCCTCTCTCTCCTGCCAGCAAAGGGACTGTACTGTGAGTCTTTTCAAAGTTAGGATGTGAGCCAGCCTCCCGGGGTGTTCTTGCCTGGACGCCCTCCTCTGCCCGTAAGCAGCAACGTGCGTTGATAAGAAAGCTGTCTGGAGTTGAGAGTCCAGGCTGTGGTCGTTAACTCACCTACATGGGAATCAAACCCACAGGTTGAAGCTGCTGAACACAGGCTCTAAGCAGAAGCAGCCACACAGAAACTGCACTGTGCTTTTTGTTTTTTTGCATACAGCAGGTAACCCACCTTGAGGTCATAGAGGAGCTGGAAGCTGCTGGGTGCCTGAGCTGCCCTCTGGACGGCCTGAGCCAGCACCAGGGCGCCCTTGCCCCCTTCTGCCCAGTGAGTGCACTTCACAGCATCAAAAGCCCCATGTTCTTTGGCGAGGCGGGTGATGAGGTCCAGCTCGGCCTCCGTATCTGTCCTGTAAAGGCAACGCTTCATGTTAAAGCACTGACGATGGCTGGAGAGGACAGAATCTGTCATGTTTTTGCCATTAAAACCCATGTGAATTACCCACTGATAAACAGACACTAATCAAGTAATACTGCCTGGGTTTGAACCCTGGCTCCACAATTTACTAGCTTGGTGACTTTCAGCCAGTTACTTAAACTTTATGTGCCTTGGTGTCCACATGGGTAAAATGGGCATAATCATAGCACTTATTTCATTGGGATGTTATGAGGCTTAGACGGTAAATACATGCAAAGTACTTAAAACATTCTAGGCACATGATAAGGAATCGATAAATACTAGCTTTTCAAAAATTTTGCTTCCTATTTTGCTGTGATTAGACCATCAGAACAAAACCAAAACCAGCATTACGATAACTAAACAACCCACACAAGTTCTCTTACAGGAACACTTCCAGCTCAATACGTTTAACAAATTGTCAAGACAACATCCTACCAGGCCTGGTGAACTAATGGAACTGTGTAGGGCTATGACCTTCTCTTAGCACAAAAGGCCTTTAAAGACCAAAAGGAACAGTTAACTTCTGGCCTGTGTGTTACCCACTTCACCTGGTGGAGAAGGGCACCCACAGGAGCCAAATCTGACTCTGGACCCTCAGCAAGTGAGGTGATGAGTCCCCTGTGACACATGCGGTGCCTGTCATATGGCAGGCTCTCATCAATAGCTCCCAAAGACAGGCTTAATAACCAATAGCAGTAACTGATGAAGAGAACAAAGCTAAAAGCTGGGCTGTACAATCAGCACCAGGAGATGTTTGCTGGCCGTTTTCCACAGTCCCCCTCGACTCTTACACTTTATACTTACTTGAAGGCGTTCACGGCCACTACCACTGGAACTCCAAACATCCTGGCATTTTCAATTTGTTTCTTCAAGTTACTGAAGCCTTTTTCAACCAGCTCCAGGTTCTGCAGAAACAACAGTGGAAGGTCTGTGAGGTCAGAGAGCAGGACTGAAAACAGTTGCAGGTTCTTCTTAAAAGAGAAACTGTCTCCTTGACCCAGAAGCCACTCACTGTCAGGACAAGCCAACAGAGACATGCTGGAGCCTGCAGCCCTAGGGTGAGCTGTGCTCCTGTCCTGGCTGCCCTGAAAGGGTGAGATTTGCTGGTGCATCTGCCCTCATCGTGCTATATCTTAATAGCTTATTTGCTGTTTGAATGGAATCAGCTGCCTTTAAATAAATTATATCTATGACCCCTGTTTTATAGATTGTATGTACTTATATGGTACAGCAGTACAAACCGACTCTGTTCAGCATGGCACAGACCCTGCCATCAGAAGACAGGGCCTAGCATACATAGTGTGTGGCATTTGTCAGAAAACACGGAGTCGTCAGTGATGCTTTCACGGGTTTAAATGAACTCAACCATAAACCTTTTTTTTTTTTAATTAATTTTTATTGGTATATAGTTGCTTTACAATGTTGTGTTAGAACCATAAACCTTCTTGTGTCAGAAATGAGATAAATACCATTTTTAAGAACCAAATACTATGAAATTTAAAGGAAAGTAATTAAGGAAACACATTTTAAAATATTTTAAAATACGCTTCCTGGAGCACTGCTTGCAGCATGGGAAAACTGCAAACAACACAAAGCTCCTTCAGTAGGGGACTGAGCCAGTGAATCATGATATACACACTCGATAAATATGTATCAGGTACATGTTATGAAAAGTGCGAATATCTGTATTAGCATGGAACCTCTCAAAGATGTACTGAAATGGCAAAACTACGAAGAGATTAATTAATCCCATTTTTGGACAAATACAAAAATACATGTGCATATTCATGGAATTTTTTTAAATGTTGAGAGATACGCACCAACTGTTAACTGGGGACTCAAATCATATATATATTATATTCTTGTATTATTTAATTTTTTTACAAGGGGTATATTATTATATAAGCTTAAAATATATTAAGTATTTTAAAAATGAAAATATCATAGTCTTATATAAAAATAAGTACACTAGATTGTGAGTAAAACCCGGCAGTAATAGCGCTTGGTTTGTGGATTTCATAAAACAGCAGAAAAAGGTAAGATACAGAAAACAACTGAGATCATTATAAGCATGATTTATGCTTTTCCCCCTTTAATAATTGAAAACTGAGATTAGAATTTAGTTGACATTCTAAAGAGCACAGCTAATTCCTTACCTCTAGTCACATGAAAACCAATTAATACATAAGATTGATTGAGAACAGTTTTAAATAAGTAAAATTTCTTAAATGAAGACACCAGCTGGGCCAGTGAGGGGCAGTTGCTCTAATTAGATGCAGGAAAGGCTGCGGGGTGGCAGGAGGGCCAGAACTGTGAATTCCCCTCCTACGCATGAATCAGACAAATGACCATAAAAGGCAAATCATAACTCAGAAGACAGGCAAACTGAAGGCACCAGCAATTCTTTGCTAGCTGCTTTTGAATTACTTCATTTGGGGGCTGAAAAGTGACCCTGTACTGCCTGACAATTTAAAAGCCTCCAAAAAGGGCAGAAAAACTTGAATCAACAGTGATAGCAGCCGAGCTTACCATCTCATTCGGGGACCTAATCTCTCACATGATAACCCCAAACTGGTGCTAGAGATGTTTCTTCAATGGTTAATGATATAAATATGAAAAGGTTTGAGCTCACAATTCCTTGAGCCCCTGCTTAATGCCATAAACCAAATTAGTTTATGAAAACTGCCTAGAAAAATAACCAGGATGCTGACCCTATCTTGGCCCCTTAATATGGATTTAGCTCTGCAGAGGAAAAAGCATTTCAAAAAAGGCCCCTACTTGCTTCTGATATGAACGGCATTTGAGAATCAACGAGCTAATGCAGGGAAGACAAGGAAACTTCCATGAGATTAGTGCAGGCTTTCTCAACCTCAGCACTACTGACATTTTGGGCTGAATACTTCTTTATAGTGGAGAGTGTCCTATGCACTGTAGCATCCCTGGCCTCTACCCACTGAATGCCAGTAGCACTCCCCACCTCAAGTTGCAACAATCAAAAATGTCTCTAGACATTGCAAAATGTGCTGGGGTGAGGGTTGGGATGGGGGGTATTGCTCCTGGTTGAGAACCAACCACTGGTCTAGGGGAGCAGGTTTACTGACATCCTATGCGGGCAATTGCTTTATGAGGCATTTCTTCCCTGTTTCATTTAGTACAGTTCTTTAGCACACTGCAGGCCTGTTAGCACACCCTGCTCCCAAGAGCAACCCTGGGTCCTAGCAACAGCCCAGTCATTTCTAAATGGGCCAGGTTGAGAAATGCTGATTCTGAATGTGGTGCTTTCTAGGCCAAGTAATTAGAAGTGACTGAAGTTACCTCCTCTACGTAAGCCTTGGGCAGAGGAAGTCCAGCAGTAACCTGGAAGGAAAAGAAGCAAAGTCAGAGGCATTTTCTACTTCAATTAGAGTTCGGCTTCAAACAGTGCTTTGCTATGTGTTAAAGGCCAGAAGCTGCATGCTTGTGGGATACGCAGCAGTAGAAGGTTGTTTTCTGCCCTAAGGATTTAGAGCTATGACCAAAACTATGGCACAGAACAAAAATGACTTGCTTTGAGCAGAGTGGGAGACCTTCATGGCCTGAATTGAAGAGGTGAGAAGGGATGAATCTATGAAGGCAGGTGAGGGAAGGGATGTGTCCTTGGCAGGGGCAATAACCCCAGCGAGTGAAGCACACAGCAGTGGGGGTGGAGGTAAAGCTGAGTGTAGAGAACAAGGCAGCTGTGAGCCCTGCAAAAGCCACCCTGAGACATCTGCCGTGAAGTCAGATGCCCTGCGGCGGGTCCGTGAGCTGGTCCATGGAGCCAGCCCACTCCCTTGCGGGGCTGAATGGGGCACGTGAGCAACAGGAACAAGAGGGAAACAACACACAAGGATTTTCTTCCTCTGTGGGTGCTCACTGTTCCAGAGGTACCTGGTGGGTCAGCCCTGCTGCATCCACAGGGAAGTGCAACAGGGGTGAAGGCGCCAGTTCCAGGGACCCCACTGGGCAATGGACAGTGATTAAGAAGCCTTCAGCTTGCTCTGCTCCCTTTTCTCAGAGACACCATGGTGCTCCAACTCCAAAGGGGCCTCGGAGAGGCGGGGCACGAAGCAGGGACCTGAGCCCACGGTCCGGGCCACACGTGGCTCCAGCAGGTAACAGGAGCAGCAGGCGAGGGTCCCGGCAGAGCTGTGCGCAAAGCTCTCCTCTCAGTGCTGCCAGCTTACGCGCCCACAGCGTTTTCCAGACATGAGATCAGGAGAGGAGGTGCAAAGGCGTGAGGGTGAGTGAGGGGGTGCAAGAGAGAGAAATGTTGGTTATGATCAGGAAGGAAAAGGGAGTCCGTCCTGCACGCCTAGCAGAAAGGGGCGTCCTGGGTTAGGAGCGCCTCGGGGACGAGTACAACTGCAGAGGTGTGCTGGGGTTGTGAGAGCAGTGGCTCTCCCCTTAGTGGGGACCTAATCCTTTCGTGGGGTCCAAGAGTTCAAGACTATTTCCATAATTCTAAGACATTATGGCTCTTTTCACTCTCATTATTTCCTGAGTATACAATGGACTTTTCCAAAGATTATGTGACATGTGGTACCACAACAAATCAAATGCCAAAGATGAGACTCCATCAGTCTTCGATTAAGCCAGATACTGAAGAGATCTGAAAAACGTACAATGCCTAAATGTTGTTTTGGAAAATACAGTCACTTTTCACTTAAAAAAAAGTTATTTATGTTAATATTTATGTCAATATTTAATTTCTAATATAGTAAATATCGCCAGACATAACTCACCTGAACAAAGAGCTCTTTTAGGCCCTTAATAATTTTTAAGAGCGTAAGGAAGTTCTGAGACCAACATTCTTGAGAACTGCTATAACAGGAAAACCCCTGATCACTACGCTAAGAAACGGTGATTTTCTTCTGTAGGTGAGGGAGGTGTTATTTATCAAGTTACTAGACCAGCTCCCGGAGGACAGGAATTTAATACTTCAACCAATTTCTGAAAATGAGCACCATGTCTTCACATGCAGGTGCTGAAGAAAAGGTGTTAAAATAATAGAGCAGAAAGTACAATTTCTAAGCAGTATGAATTCAGGAAAACACAAAGTTCAGGTTGGAGCTGAAGATAAACCATGCTCACCTGTTTCTCCCCATCACCTGGAGGCAGTCTGGAGCTCCTTCTCCCCTGACTCCAAGCTGTTAGCGGTCCTGCCCAGCACCCACCTCCCAATAAGGGGCTGACCTCTATCTCAGCTAAATGGTTTGATTGGCTGGCTGCCAGCATCACCGTTAGCGGGATTAAAAAGAACAGTCTGAACATAAAGGAGTTTTTTGTAAATATAGCCAAGCACATGTCCTTGGAGGGGTTTTGATATTATCAGGTGTTTTGCTCCGAAAGGTAGGCCATGAAGACAACCTCGGCCCTCTTAAAATGCCAAGAGCTGGTACTGCCTAGAAGTGATAAGGCGGCCAGCACAAGAGCCGTCTGAACATCCCCTGCTTCTGGCAACCCATTAGTCATGAGGACAAGAGCAGCTTAATGAAGAAACTGGCACAAGTCATCCAGTTTCCCTTTAGCCTTCAGAACATTTCTGAGAACCAGCCTCTTCCAACTCCTGATCCTCACCGTGGGGCCGCCTCCGTGCATTTTCAGAGCCCTGACAGTGGCAACAAGCACCACCACATGCGGGCGGAGACCAGAATACCGGCATTTGATGTTAAAGAACTTTTCCATTCCAATGTCTGCTCCGAATCCTGCTTCAGTCACTGTCACGAGAAAAGCAACTGTAAAAATGCCATCCCAACTCCCTTGATGTTAAAAGAAAAAACAGTCTATCACCGATTTCGCAAAAGCACTCGCCTACAAACCCTTCGGGACCAACAAGCTTGAGTGCAATCCGGTCTGCAATGATGGAGGAATTCCCGTGTGCGATGTTGGCAAATGGCCCAGCGTGAACAAATACTGGAGTGCCCTGTGGAAATCAAGACATCGTGAGCGAAGCTGCGCATCCTGCTTCAAAAGGGACCACTCGGTAAGGGGACCAAAATTAGCTGGAATCCAAAAGAAAAAGACTTCCCAAGGGAAAGTATGAAGCCGCCTCTTCTAGATTTCAGTAAAGTCCCAGTCACAACTATGAGAAAGAATGGGAAGAAAGAGATGACCAGGGAGAGAAGGTCTCTGACTCCCCAGGAACAATCTGCTTTACAACCAATCCAGGAAGGCAGGAGTCACTCTGCTCACCTCTAATGTCTGCATGAGATTGGGCTTGATGGCGTCCTTCATGAGTACTGTCAATGCCCCGCTCACTCCCTGCAAAACAAAGGCATGAAGGGTTGATTCCCACCAGCAAAAAACCTACCTTTTGAAGCCAAAATTCAACATTCTTAGGTCTTCCTTTTTTAGCCATCTTGGACCAATGAGTACTTTTACCTAAACTAGACCACCCATTCATTTGTTTATTTATTTTTCAGGATATACAATAAAGTTGCCAATTATCTTAACGGAGAAGAGAGAATGAAAATGACATCTATATGTAAATTCTGGAAAAATACATAACCCTGGAAACAAGCATCTCAGTGAAGCTCTGTTGCTGATCGATGTGGATAATCCATTTTAGACTCATTTACGGTATGGAAACGCTAGTTCCTAAGAATGCTGAATTATAGGTAACTTTGGTGTCTGGGCAGAAATGTCTGTAAACCTGATTTAGTATGTGTCTCCTGTACCTTAATCTGAAAATTTACCCAGGAGTTCAACACCAACTCTTATATATCAGGTCCCTCTTTTTAAGCCATCCAACCACAGATGAACAAACTGGTATCATTGTAAGATAAAGCTATGGATCCCACTTATATTCAGTTTTAATGAGTTTCTAAGTTCCTGGCTTGGTGTAAAAATTTAAAACAATTTCTGTTCTTATACACATTAACTGTGAAAACAGGAAATTAATATTTCCCCCCTTTTCCGGATTCATCTGACAGACCGCTAATCATAGGCCAACCATTTTGGTGTATGTGAACACAAACAGGCTTTTAAAAAAGTAATCTAGGGGACTTCCCTGCTGGCGCAGTGGTTAGGAATCTGCCTGCCAATGCAGGGGATGCAGGTTTGATCCCTGGTCCGGGAAGATCCCACATGTCGCAGAGCAACTAAGCCCGTGAGCCACAACTACTGAGCCTGCGCTCTAGAGCCCGTGCTCCGCAACAAGAGCAGCCACCGCAATGAGAAGCCTGCGCACTGCAATGAAGAGTAGCCCCCGCGCGCCGCAACTAGAGAAAGCCCACGCACAGCTACGAAGACCCGACGCAGCTAAAAAAAAAAAAAAAGTAATCTATAAGATTATCTCATTTCAAACTCCATAATACCATGTAGATAGTTCAGAAATAATCCTGATGTGGACAATGAATATAATAGCAGGACCATTAGAAGAACTGGCTGAGCTGTTCCCAATGTGGTCATCAGTGTGGATATGGTGCCGAGCCTCATGATGAGAGGCCTCTGTGCAGGGAGCCCTGTCATGGGGAGAGGCCGGGGGGTGACTCAAAGCTCAGCTCTAAGGGCCTCACATGGACTCCTGATGCTCTCTGAAACCGAAGTCAGACACCCTCTCTTGGAAATACTCACAGGCTGAAGATACTGCTCAAACCACCTGTGGTCTATTATTGGAGCATACCATCTATCACTCACTATGGAGTACTTTTTATAAACTTCATAATTATATAGTGAGTAACAAGATCATATGAATTTATTAGTTAATTGCAGCATCTTAAGTATGCCACAGTTTTTGTCAGTGGTAACTGCTGAGAAATGCTGGGACAACAGACGCAGATGGATTGCCAAGTCTGGAGTGCCCGGCTACCCACCAGATCTTCGGTACTAATGGGCTCCCCTTTCTTGCTGGATGCCACCACCATTTTGCTCAGTCTCTCTCTCATATCTTCTAGAGAGCTGGTGAGAGCCAGGACAGCCATGATTTCACTGGCCACGGAGATATCAAACTGGGCCTGTTGGCAGGGAAAAGACACATCAGGGAAAACTGTGTTAAACAGAAGCGTGGATTGCAAAAGTAATCCTTGTTTGCATCCCAGGCTTAAACAAATAGCTTAAAAGGACAGAATAAAAGAACAGTACGAAAAGAACTTAATGAAAATAACCTTCCAACAGCAAAAATTTGTAATTAATTATTCTAAGACCTTGAGTAGTCGATTTTTACGCATAAATGTTCTAGTAGGACCAACGATCCCTGTGAAGGCAGCTTGTAATCATGTGATCATGGTTTCCCTAACATACAAGGGACTAACTCAGAAGCTCTTACACCGAAGAGACATACTACAAAATGGCCACAAAAAAGAAGCAATTTTAATCAATTCATGTACAAGGATATTCACTTGGGGCACTCCGCCTCCAGGAAAAAATACTGGGGGAAAAATACACAGGTGACACATGGGATTTACTGCAAAAACTGTCAGGAGTGCTCAATACCACACACCTACTCGCTCTCATTTTACAAGGGAGAAGGCAGAACAACACCTGGCAGTATCAGCTGATCAGGAGGGAATGGAGGAGGATAGAAGCAGCAAGGATCTAGTGCCCATGAACTAATTTACTTAGAAAGGAACAGGCAGTTACCGTCCGTGTGTGCCCCTTCTCCGTGGGAGCCTGTCCAATTGTGATCTTCCTCAGGAATCTGTCATTGGTATCCAGCACTACGGTAGAAAAGGAAGACACAGTAGAGAGGGAAAATACAGCAGATATAGTAGAGAGGGAAAAGGACCATAAAGTCAAAGGAACCAGCAGAATTTTAAGCAACAAATCTAACTTAATGACTATAATATTTGATTTCAAAATTTATGGTAAAGCTAGAATATGGGTCCAAGTTTAGAAATGATGTTTTCATACCATTAATGTGCAGGAATTAAAGACAAGACGGTAGAGTGGCTTGGTTTATTCTTCCTAGAGAATTCAAACAATTAACTAGAAATCTGGAATCCGTTTCAAAGCATATTCCACACTCCACAAAAAAACAGAGCAGGCCAGTTTTTCAAAAGGCCGAGGTTTATGTTGTTCTGTGGGATGACTCACTGATCTTACATAACCCTGAGACACACAAGGCCCATAAACACAGGGCAAAGGCAATGCCTTTTGAAGCAGGCTGGGTAACAGACCTGCTCTTTCCTTTAGCACACTTAGAAGAAGTAAATTTCCATTCTGATGACAGAACATCTTTCCAATTGCATACTCTTGAAAACATGGCAAAGATCAACCTACTAACTAATCTTAATCCCCCCACCTCCTAGGTCTAACTACGGTGAACATTTTAGTGTATTCCCAATTTTGTTTTTTGTATGACATACCAAAAATAACAACAAAACACAAAATGAAAAACAGCAGCAAACCAGTTCACGCTCTTTTAGGGTGGGTCAAAGAGGAGAGGCACTTTCAAGGTACTTGATAACATGCCAAAGTATTTTCCTTAAAGACTGTAATAATTTAAACACTAAAAGCAGTGTCTTGTGCAGCACTTGGGGAAACACACACACCACCCCATTTGATAAGTGAAGGATGTAATGAGTTGTTGGAGTTTATCCTTATTTTTTTTTAAAAAATAGTGTCTAGTTCCTTGCATCTAATTTCTGTGTATAGAACAGCCAGTCAATGGGTATGATCCATGTTTTCCCTTGTCTGCTTCTACTTTCTTAGAAAGCATGAATTACATATAAAGCAAAGGAAAAATGATTGTGATAATAAATTTTCAAAATGGATCTTTAGCTTATTCCTCATAAAATATGATACCATATGTCTAAAGCTATTGAAGCAAAGAAAGAGAAAGATCAGTGTGGTTTTAGATATTAGGAGAGTTGCCTTAAAAATGCCATTAGCTAGCACAGTTACTGAGCCAATGACAGTCACAAAAACAGTCAATAAATGGCCTGTCAGCTGCATTCTGTGCATCTAGATGAAAATTTCTTCTCAGCAGTGACAGAGTTTAGACGCATACACTGTTGGTACAAAATAAAACTCTAAGCCATGCTAGTTGACACAGACAAAAGCAACATCTGGCAGTGAAACCAGGCAACTCACTCACCAATCTGCTGGATGTTTAAACCTTGAAGGCTACCTACTTTGTTACAAGAGAGTTTAAGAAAATGAGGTAAAAGTGAGCAGGCAAGCTCCAGACCTACAAGAAAAATCAAGTCACTTATGCCAGACAAGAGTTCTAAGAATAAAGGGCAACATGATTTAAGAAGTGATTAAACATCACTTCTCTACTTAATGACACCAAAACTTTCTGCATAAAATGAAAGTTGCAAAATGTTATTTTTGGTTTATGTATGAACTTCCTTAAAACCCTCCTCACGCCAATGAACACTGAAGAGCCAGCAAAATGTCCAACTAACCAAACAAAAGGAGGTTTGATTACAGCTAATAAGGAGGGAGACTGATGGAGGTGGCCAGGAAAACGAGTGAGTCGCCATCTTAGTCAGGCCTTAACAATGAAAATACCAACACACAAGCTATGGACCTCCCATTTTATCACCTCTAAGGGAGGTCATGGGGCGTGCAGTATAACCAAACCAATGGGGTGTACACCCTGCTCTGGTACCTCTTTGCCAAGTTATAGTTTCTGGATCAATGTCCAATCTTGCAAATCTGTATATCTCTTCATCTGTCAGTGTGGTAGGGTCAGTCTTTTCAATGCCTAGTCTCTGAAGAGGTAGGAAAATTAAAAAATAAGACAAACCAAACAAAAGCAGATATGATTTAAAAAAAATTTTTTTATCCTTATCTCCAGATAGGGGAAATATAAACCATGTTAAATTCAGAAGGGAAAACTATGATCCCTTTGGCTAAATCTTTATTTCCCATTCACACATGTACAAAGGTATTATTAACATGTTTGTCCCTATCACTGAGCACCAAAGGCATTTCCCTAAACCAAAGCCCTACGTAAACATAGTGACCAAAAAGTGTTGTACCTAACTCACCATATGCAAACATATTGAAAGGAAAAGCTTTTTCAATCAAACTGTTGAGAAGCCCAAGTCACATGCAAAATTAGAAGGGCAAAAACAAATATCGATCAATAAAAATCAATGTAAATCACTTTAAATGCTTTTTAAAAAACTAATATGCTGACCTTTTGAATATATTTAAAGGGATAAATAGTCCTTTCGATGCAGAAGAAAAGAAGAGACATTGCTCTAGCACAGTACATGCTTTTTAAGTAGTACTATCCTTTCACTGCCTTCTTACTATTCCAAAAGGCACAAGAGGGGTTTGTTTCTTCCTCCTCACGGAACTTGGAAATTTATTTATTTACAATGTGTACCATGGTCAAATACTGAAATGGAAAATGCCTTTAAAATGTACTCTCTTTTTCTCTTAACTCCTGGTAGATCTGAGTGGCCCCAGCAAACCCTGCTCTTCCCATAGTTCCCTTCCTGTGTTATGAGGACTTTTTTTTAAAACCTCAGGTGTGTTTTCAGAGCTGGTGCTCACTGGCTTGTCAAATAGCATCACAAGCCTGGAACATGACATTGTTTACAGAAGTCAGCAAAACCCTCAGTCACTAAGCTGAGAATTTGCTGTTGACAACCCTTCTTGACTGAGTACCTGGTGGGTAGACTGTGATAATACAGCACAAGAGAGGATGCCTGGGGACCAGGAAACAGAAGATCGACGTTCTAGTTCCAACCTGGTGAGGGGTGCTGTGGCCATTGACAAGTCCCTTGATCTCAAATCCCAGAGCTTTTTAAAAGATCATTTAAACGTTGAGTCCAGCCCCTCCCCACACCTGACAGAAAGTTCCATCAGCAAAGGTAAGATTAGAAGTTGCCTGCTCTTCTACAGTACTTGCTGCCTTGCAGAACACAATTCTTTTACATAACAAGGTAATAGCTGACTTACCTTATGCAAGGATGTTTTGTGGGGTGTGAGAACAAGAGAAGCTAAAAAATATCAAACTGTGTAAAAGTCACTTTTTCTCAAGTCCAGAGAAAAATGCATATATATAAATGTGACAGAACTGTAAAGCAAGTAGGGCAAAATGTAAATCATTACTGCATCTGGAGCTTGTGTACTATTCTTACAGCATTAAAATATAAAGTTGCAAAAAATTAAAAATAAGGTGAGTGTAACTACTATTGATAACTAGGTAGCACATACCATTTATTGAATGCTTATATGTGTCAGGCAGTCTAAAGAATATTTACAGATATATAACATTTCTTTCATATGTAAAAGTAACACTAGAATATATTTTGAATTTTATTTTGAAAATTTCCTTGTGCTACCCCTTTATAGCCACACCTTTCCCCAACCCATAACTCCTGGCACCCACTGATCTATTTTCCATCACTATAGCTTTGTCTTTTGAGAATGTCATATAAATGGAAGCATACAGTATGCAACCATTTGCGGCTAGCTTCTTTCAAGCAACATAATGCCTTTGAGATTCATTCAAGTTGTTGTGTGTATCAGCAGTTCATTCCTTTTTACTGTATGGATGTACCAGCTTGTTTATCCATTTATTACAGAAAGATATTTAGGTTGTTTGTAGATTTTGTTTCTATATGAATACAAGTTTGCATTTCTTTTGAGTAAATACCTAGGATTAGAATTTCTGGGTCATATGGTACAGTGTACGTTTAATAACTATATATTTGTAATAGAAGTTCAAATAAAATACAGAAGCAACCACTCTTGCTTAAGGCCCTGATGCTGCAAAGAGCAGGTATTCAAACTCTAGAAGCTGCTATGTTGCCACGCTGGCAACCTGACTCCTATATCCATGCTATAAAGAAGTGTCATTCTTCTTAGCTGAGAGCAGGTCCTCAGTGCTCTATTGATACTGGGACTAACCACTAAAAATTCAAAGATAAGTGAGAAATAACCTCTGCCACCCATCTTTATGTATATCATAACCTTATGACTATGGTTATGGACGAACTTGTCCAAAACAGGCTACTCTAAGGAGATTATAACCTCCTTATCAATCACCTAATTTCACACAATATCAAAAATGAACAAGGGAAAAGCTTACCCGTAACCTCCGGATTTGGATATCAGAGAACTTTCTCACTCCATTTACTGATGGTACCAAACGATTAAAGAGGGCCTTAGAGAAAAGGAAGAAGAGGGCTTTTAAGAGAGAGGAACGCCACTGTCTTGCTACCTGCATTATTGGTACCCAAGGGTCCAACATTAATTTGAGTGCTTCAAACCTTCTGAAAGTGCCCGTGGGGGTCTCAGCAGCCTACCTTGTCTGTCTGGGTCTGTTCGTGGAACATCCGGGCATCGATGGCTGCAGCCACAAGGTTATTAGCCGCAGTGATGGCATGGATGTCACCAGTAAGGTGGAGATTAAACTGCAAAAGGGTAGAAGCCACATCAGTCTTCCAACTTCTCTGCATCTTTTCACATTCATTCTATTGCAGCCAAACCAATCCCTATGTTAAAGCCAATGGAAAACTGATGGCAGCACAGCTAGTGGACAAACACCAACACAGCTATCCCTTGAAAACAAATTACTATCTATCCTCAGAAGGAACACTGATTTTCCCTAAGAGACATGGCCAATAACCATAAACGCCACACCCCTGGGATCAGCAGCAACGCTGGATTAGTAAGAACACACTCACGTCCTTTAAACAGTGAGCAAGAAGTACACTGGAGCGACCCAACTCCATGCCTATACGCTGCTCCCACTTCTGTGGTTATTACTTTGAATTCACTTCATGTTTGTTCTTCCCTATCTTATGCTTCATTTAATCACTTGCTTATTATTTTCACTGCAAGCCAGGCTTTGAAGTCCTTGTCATGTCAAAAAAGTAAACTGTTGGGCTTCCCTGGTGGCGCAGTGGTTGAGAGTCTGCCTGCCGATGTAGGGGACATGGGTTCGTGCCCCGGTCTGGGAGGATCCCACATGCCGCGGAGCGGCTGGGCCCGTGGGCCATGGCCGCTGAGCCTGCGCGTCCGGAGCCTGTGCTCTGCAACGGGAGAGGCCACAACAGTGAGAGGCCTACGTACCACAAAAAAAAAACAGTAAACTGTTTAAAAGTTGGCAAATTAAGATGTTTTTCTCTGAAGTACTGCTTCTGTTGAGCAAACAAGTCATTTGCCTACTAAGATCTCTACAATAAACTTTAATCCCAGGAAGGAAAAACTATAAAAAAAGGTCTGATCCAACCAAATCCCAGACCACATTACCTCTTCCATAGGAATGACCTGTGAGTAGCCGCCGCCTGCAGCACCACCTGGAGGACAGGTCAAGGTTGAAGACTCATGTTAAGCACGTTTCACCATGACTTGCAAATCAAATGAAAGCACATCGGTTTTTGTAACTGCTCCGCATATTATTTACTTTTTACAACCATTTGGACAGATTTGATCAAGTGCTTTGTAATTTTCTTGACCAAACTAAACCGCTTGATCTTGTTCACTCTGAATAGTCTCTCAACTGAAATCTGAATCTAACTGACAAAACCATAAACACATAACATACCTACTCATTATCTTTAGAAACAGGTTCCTCTTGATTCCTAACATTTGTTAAGAAAAACCCAGCCTACAGTTACATAAAGGCAAACCTGTTCAATTTCCTACCCTCATAAATGCTATTCTGGCATTTTAAAAAAGGAATATTTAAAATAAACACAGCAACACAAACACAGAGACTGCAATTCTTCCTAAATAGGACACATATGGTAGAAAACAGCTTAACTGCTAGATTTTTGCTGGCCCATTTGGATTACTAACCAAAATCCAGTTAAAAATGTCCAGGTTTACAGTGAGATAAATGTCAATCTGAGGTAGAGGTTTTGTGTGGGGTTTTTTTGTGGGGCAGAGATCATGCAATGAAAATGGGGCAATTTGTGATAAGAGGAAAAGGAGCATATTGGGTTCAATAAGGGGGAAAAGGCTCATTCTGAAATAAAAGGGGGTTATTAAGCTCAAAAGCAGAACTAAGTTAACGCACTTATATCAAAACAATAGGCTGAAGAAGGACAAAGGCGTACCCCGTGTCAACATTTGTAGTAATTGTTAGAACAAGCGGAATATGTGATACCCTATCGCCAAGCAAATGATGAAGCTGACTCTGAGAACCTATTTTAATTAATAAAAATAATTTTAATTAAATGAACATGTTTGCAGTACTGCAGCTATCAAAAACTGAAGGTGAAGTACAGTTATTGATGTTGTGTTTTCATCTAATCAGAAGAAACATTGGATTGATGGTATTATCTTAGAGCTTGAAGTAGACGTGGGGACTCACCCTGGTACTTGATGATACTGCCTTGAATTCAAGCTACCTCTGAATCCCAGTTGCTGCTATTGTAAGTGGAGATAAAACTAACCATCTTAGAAGATAAAGTAATAGGCATAAACTGCTTAGCACAAAACCTGGCACGAAGCCTATACTCAATAAGCATATACTTTTCTTATTCCCTCAGTGTGAAACAATCTGTAGGGTTTGTCTTTGTCTCTAGAAAGTCAGCATCATGATCAGCGGCTGTGATTACCTTTATTGTTACTATGAGAGTCGACTATCGGTCATATAAAAGCACCCCTGGCTACATATTACCCATCCCAGAGAATCCCTGCGCAGTATCAGACAGTGACAGCAGGAGTTGGGGTGATCCAATGAAAGCCTTCACCAAAAGCACCATGATGCTCTTCTGGGATGTGATGAAGCTGTTTCTAGTGTCTAAATGAGCTGAAGACCCTGCACACATTCATGGGCCAAGTGGGCCAGGAGGACTGAAGGAGGTGCAGGCACCCTCTGGCCACCCAGGTCTGGTCTCACTAATACCTTTTATTCCGAAGGTGGGGCCCTGAGAAGGCTGTCGCACACACGCGAAGACATTCTGATGGAGATGGGCACTGAGGCCCTGCACCAGCCCAATCGTGGTTGTGCTCTTCCCCTCTCCCAGGGGTGTTGGAGTTATTCTTCAAGATGAAAGCAAAATAGGAAAATTACATTTATGTAAATTAAATTCATGTGTAGCACTAAGTCAGCTCTGATCCTAGAGAGTGACTCTTAATCTGAATAACCAGAAAGATGAAACACATGAAGGGGATCTTTTCCAAGGGTCTTAGTTGTAACTTCCCCCCAGTTTGAAATTAAAAAAGACTTCTGCATTTTAGCTCTTCTGACAGTTAGGGGCAAATATACTCTACTTTGTAAGAGACACTGCTATACTTTTAATTTCTCAATTTAGTCTCAAAAACTAGCTTTTAACTCAGCCAAACAAAAAAATAGATGAATCCTCAACAGATCTACAGAATTAATGATCTGGGGTTTAAAAAAGGCAATTCCATCTGAAGATCAGGTTTTAAGATTCAAACTCTTCCACCTACTAGATGAATAACCTTGACAAATTTTCTCATCTCTATAGAGTTGTCTACTCTTCTTCACAGGGTCGCTGTAAGGATCAAATTAGATAAAATACATATGAAAATGCTAAAACCTGGGCTTCCCTGGTGGCGCAGTGGTTGAGAGTCTGCCTGCCGATGCAGGGGACACAGGTTTGTGCCCCGGTCTGGGAAGATCCCATGTGCCTCGGAGCGGCTGGGCCCGTGAGCCATGGCCACTGAGCCTATGCGTCCGGAGCCTGTGCTCCGCAACGGGAGAGGCCACAACAGGGAAAGGCCCGCGTACCACAAAAAAAAATTTAAAAAAATAAAAAATAAATAAAAATCTAAAACCAAATTAAAGGAACCTCCACATATACATGGCTAAGCGCAAATGCAACCCCTGGTAATAATAATCAGGACTAATATTAAGATTCAACTGGCAAATGGACAAAAACCATACCCGGTCACCACCACGTATTTCCCGTCGGGCTGGTGCTTCAGGCGTTCCAGTACTGACAGCAGGACTTTGGCCTTGGTTTCACCATACAATTCTACCTCTTCAGAGCTCAGACCAATTTCTCGAGCCAGGTTACCAATGGGCTTTGGCTTGCAAGACCGTGATATATCAATGTCACTTAGGAGAAATATAGAAAATATGTATCAACCTTTATTCACGGGACTCAATCAATGCCATCCTAGTAATGACCCACCTCAACCACGTTCGGAGGGGGCATACACATAACCATGGTATCCATCAGCTAAAACCCCACCATCCACAGTGTGAAAACAGCAAAAGCTTCTTTTTACCTTGGCACGGGTGTCTTCAGGTTAAGTTTGTTATACTGAATGATCCACTTCCCTGGCTTAAATTTCTCCAGGAAACGCTTTGCACTCTCTACCGTGCTCTAAACAAAATGACACAAATGGACCTGAGAAGAGGTGATGATTTTAACCTCCACCTCAGTTCCTAGTCCTGGTCACTCAAGTTCAATCACAAAATGAACAGCTTCAGGATCCGCCTGTTAACATAATTCAATTCGAGGCCGGAGTCTATAGGCAGCAGGATGCCCTGGGCTGCGCGCCTCACCCCCACCAGCTGGTGTGTGTTACAAAGGGCAAGAAGCCAAAACATACTGAGTGAAGCCAGGCTGCTCGTACTTTTTTCCCTTTAAGTTATCACATTCCAGAGTAAATCAGAATCATGCTACCCCTACTTCCCTCTATTAATACAATTGATTCTACTTCTCTCTACTTCCATTTCCTTTTTTTCTTCAACAGATTCACATCCTTACTTAGATTCTGAGTAGGTTCTATGACATTTCTACTTGGAGAGAAATGCAGTACCTGGAATTCTATCAGCTTCGTAGAACTATTACAAAAACGTCCATTCACACTTACCTGCATTAGCATCACCACCGTCATTGGCCCGACGCCACCAGGAACAGGAGTAATGAAGCTTGCCCTCTCCTTGGCCTCCTTGTATGCCACATCACCCACAATTTTCCTCCCACTTGATTTTGTATCATCTGGTCAAAGAGATAAAAAAGTCAAAGCACAGTCTCAGAATCACAATCTTCATGTTTATTTCTAAGTTATGTGATCGATTACAACAGCTTGTTCCAAAAACTAAGTCGAGTTTAGGGTGTGTAGTCCCATCTGGTTCAAGTGCCTACTTTACTTAAAAGCTGTGGGATGTGATAAAAGCTCCCCATTTATGATAAAAACTCTCGAGAAAGTAGGCATAGAGGGAAGTTACCTCAACATAATAAAGGCCAAATGTGACAAACCCACAACCAACATTGTTCTCAATGGTGAAAAACTGAAACCATTCCCACTAAGATCAGGAACAAGACAAGGTTGCCCACTCTCACCACTATTATTCAACAGAGTTTTGGAAGTTTTAGCCACAGCAATCAGAGAAGAAGAAGAAATAAAAGGAATCCAAATTGGAAAAGAAGAAGTAAAACTGTCACTGTTTGCAGATGACATATTATACACAGAGAATCCTAAAGATGCTACCAGAAAACTACTAGAGCTAATCAATGAATCTGGTAAAGTAGCAGGATACAAAATTAATGCACAGAAATCTCTTGCATTCCTATACGCTAATGATGAAAAATCTGAAAGAGAAATTAAGGAAACACTCCCATTTACCACTGAAACAAAAAGAATAACATACCTAGGAATAAACCTACCTAAGGAGACAAAAGACCTGTATGCAGAAAACTATAAGACACTGATGAAAGAAATTAAAGATGATACAAACAGATGGAGAGATATACCATGTCCTTGGATTAGAAGAATCAACATTGTGAAAATGACTATACTACCCAAAGCAATCTACAGATTCAATGCAAGCCCTATCAAACTACCAATGGCATTTTTCACAGAACCAGAACAAAAAATTGCACAATTTGTATGGAAACACAAAAGACCCCAAATAGCCAAAGCAAACTTGAGGAAGAAAAATGGAGCTGGAGGAATCAGTTTCCCTGACTTCAGACTATACTACAAAGCTACAGTAATCAAGACAGTAAGGTACTTTTAAAAAAACAACAACACAACAACAACAACAAAAAAAAACAGTATGGTACTGGCACAAAAACAGAAATATAGATTAATGGAACAGGATAGAAAGCCCAGAGATAAACCCACACACATATGGTCACCTTATTTTTGATAAAGGAAGCAAGAATATACAATGGAGAAAAGACAGCCTCTTCAATAAGTGGTACTGGGAAAACTGGACAGCTACATGTAAAAAAAATGAAATTAGAACACTCCCTAACACCATACACAAAAATAAGCTCAAAATGGATTAAAGACCTAAATGTAAGGCCAGACACTATAAAACTCTTAGAGGAAAACACAGGCAGACACTCTATGACATAAATCACAGCAAGATCCTTTTTGACCCACCTCCTAGAGAAATGGAAATAAAACAAAAATAAACAAATGGGACCTAATGAAACTTAAAAGCTTTTGCACGGCAAAGGAAAACAGAAATGAGACGAAAAGACAACCCTCAGAATGGGAGAAAATATTTGCAAATGAAGCAACTGACAAGAGGATTAATCTCCAAAATATACAAGCAGCTCATGAAGCTCAATAATAAAAAAAGAAACAAACCAACAACCCAATCCAAAAATGGGCAGAAGACCTAAATAGACATTTCTCTAAAGAAGATATACAGATTGCCAACAAACACATGAAAGGATGCTCAACATCACTAATCATTAGAGAAATGCAAATCAAAACTACAATGAGGTATCACCCCACACCGGGCAGAATGTCCATCATAAAAAATCTACAAACAATAAATGTTGGAGAGGGTGTGGAGAAAAGGGAACCCTCTTGCACTGTTGGTGGGAATGTAAATTGATACAGCCACTATGGAGAACAGTATGGAGGTTCCTTAAAAAACTAAATATAGAACTACCATACAACACAGCAATCCCACTACTGGGCATATACCCTGAGAAAACCATAATTCAAAAAGAGTCATGTACCACAATGTTCACTGCAGCACTATTTACAATAGCGAGGACATGGAAGCAACCTAAGGGTCCATTGATAGATGAGTGGATAAAGAAGACGTGGCACATACATACAGTGGAATATTACTCAGCCATTAAAAGAATCAAAATTGAGTTATTTGTAGTGAGGTGGATGGACCTAGAGTCTGTCACACAGAGTGAAGTAAGTTAGAAAGAGGCAAACAAATACTGAACACTAACACATATATATGGAATCTAAAAAAAAAAAATGGTTCTGATGAACCTAGGGGCAGGACAGGAATAAAGACGCAGACAGAGAGAATGGACTTGAGAACACGGGGAAGGGGGAGGGTAAGCTGGGACAAAGTGAGAGAGTGGCATTGACATATATACACTACCAAACGTAAAACAGATAGCTAGTGGGATGCAGCCGCATAGCACAGGGAGATCAGCTCGGTGCTTTGTGACCACCTAGAGGGGTGGGAGGCAGACGCAAGAGGGACGGGATATGGGGATATATGTATATGTATAGCTGATTCACTTTGTTACACAGCAGAAACTAACACAACAATGCAAAGCAATTATACTCCAATAAAGATGTTAAAAAAAAAAAAGCTGTGGGATGACAGGTGTTTGCTATCTCCTAGGGAGAAACTTACTTTACCTGCAAAATTCCACAAGATGCTTAAGTGGTTTTTCAGAACCAGGAGAAACCTTTTGTCTTCTGTCAGGTGGCAAATAAAATACCAACTGTGTTTTATTCTTAAAGCCAACCACCAAGTATACAATGAGCACCTTTTAAAACGTTAATTTGCCAAGGCCTTCAAAGGAATTTTTTGGGTGCACAAAGCTCCAGCTATATCGCAGCTGCCAGATATGGTTTCTACAGCAACTGTCAGCATTTTGTAAGCTCCAGGCATGAGCTGGAGGAACAATTCAACATCCAATTCCAAAGATGAGCAGCTACTTAAATGTATGCAAAAAGGCAAAGAATATAATTACACTCCCGTTAAAAGGATACAAGAACAACTACAAATCTTAGCAGCAAAGAATAGCTATTCAAGAGAACAAGACCCCATGATGCATCACTGCTCACTCACTCCTACACTTGGCTTCAGTGCACTTCCAGGAGGGGCTGGGGACAGGGCTAGACCTTGTGGTTGGTTCTAAGGCAGGACCTGGTAAGATCTTAGCCATTTCACCTCTTTGATCAGATTGCCACAACTAAGAAAGGAAGCCTCAGGATTCAGCCAAAAAGCCAGAATTAAGCGACTTCGGCTCTAGGATCAGCTCTTTCACTAACCTCGAGTCTCCAGCCCCTGTGGGCTCCTTACTGATCAGAAGTCTAAAGGGGCAAAGAAGGATGAACACTACCTATTTCACAAGCTTGAGGAGAATCAAGTAAATTGTGTGTGTTTCTTGAGATTGAAAAAACACTCTCCGGGCTTCCCTGGTGGCGCAGTTGTTAAGAATCCGCCTGCCAATGCAGGGGACACGGGTTCGAGACCTGGTCCGGGAAGATCCCACATGCCGCGGAGCAACTAAGCCCGTGCGCCACAACTACTGAGCCTGTGCTCTAGAGCCCGTGAGCCACAGCTACTGAAGCCCACACACCTAGAGCCCGTGCTCCGCAACAAGAGAAGCCACTGTAATGAGAAGCCTGCGCACCGCAACAAAGACCCAATGCAGCCAAAAATAAATAAATTAATTTAAAAAAAAAAAGAAAAAACACTCTCCAAACATAAGGGTTTCTCTTCCTACCCTAGATAACATTAGATATTTTCTATATGTACTCTCAGGAGCTGGTGAACACAACCCCTTGTGATGGTTTCAGGCTTCTAGATTATAAGGCAGCAAGCTACGGCAATGGCAGAACATTTCCTCTCATAATCACTAAGGTCGTTTCAAAATGCCAGGGAAATAACGGTTGAGGGTTGCCCTTGTATGGGTTTCAATTGTCTAACACACCGAAGTTAGCTAAAAATACCCCTGTACCTCCTTCTATTTATGAATGTTAGTCACTTTCTCCGTGTGTTTCTGCACATACAGGAGACACGTCAATTACTGCACAACCTCACGCTGCACTGGGTGAGCTCAGCTCTGCTCCTTAATCAAACGCTATCAGGGCTGGCTTCAGTGCCCTCTGATGTATGTACAGGTTTCACGGAAGGTGTGATGTGGTCAGTGGAAAAGTGACTCTGTCTCTAAGCACATGGCTTCAGTAACCATCAAACATTTTGCTTATCTATCCCAGCCCTAGAATTTCTCTTTCATCTGGAACTATTAGTGCAAAACTAGTTAAGATCCAGCTGAGGGACTTCCCTGGCGGTCCAATGTTAGGACTCTGCGCTTCCACTCCAGGGGGCATGGGTTTATAATCCCTGGTCGGGGAACTAAGATCCCACGAGCTGTGCGGTAGAGGAAAAAAGAAAACCCAATCCAGCTGAGCCTTGAGTCCTTCACATGTAATTTGGGGGCCCCAATAACAGGGTCCAGTATAGAAGCCACTACGCTGGATAGGTTGAGACTGGATTGAGAGGGGTTAGGAATCTGTTCCCCCTTTTATAACCCTTCCAAATAAAACACTATTAATCCAGCCCTTTTCAATTATCTTTAGTAAACCACCAGGAAGAACACTTTTACATGTTTCTCTGGCCAATACCTTCTGCTCTGTACTTGAATCTTAAAAAAATATTTCTCAAAAAAAACCCCAACAAAACAAAAACCCATAACAAAAAAACAACAACAAAAAACTACGTACCTTAATTCATCCTTAATTTGGAAAATAACTTAAGATGTTATCCCTGAAAGGACCCTGCAAATGATTTAAATCAAAATATGAACCAAGAAGTGGCCCAGTTGTGGAAAGTGGTGTTTCAAGAATGAACATTTGAACCCTCCTACACTGTTGGTGGGAATGTAAATTGGTACAGTCACTATAGAGAACAGTATGGAAGCTCCTTAAAAAAACTAAAAATAGAGCTACCATATGATCCAGCAATCCCACTCCTGCACATATATCCAGAGAAAACCATAATTTAAAAAGACACATGCACTCCAATGTTCACTGCAGCCCTGTTTACGATAGCCAGGACATGGAAGCAACCTAAATGCCCATCAACAGAGGAATGGATAAAGAAGATGCGGTACATATATAAAATGAAATACTACTCAGCCATAAAAGAGAATGAAATAATGCCATTTGCAGCAACATGGATGGACCCAGAGATTGTCATACTGAGTGAAGTAAGTCAGAGAAAGACAAATATCATGATATCACTTATATGTGGGATCTAAAAAAAGGGGTACAAATGAACTTACCTACAAAACAGAAATAGAGTTACAGATGTAGAAAACAAACTTTGGGTTACCAGGGGGTAAAAGGGGAAGTGATAAATTGGGAGACTGGGATTGACACATTCACACTATTATATATAAAATAGGTAACTAATAAGGACCTACTGTATAGCACAGGGAACTCTACTCAATACTCTGTAATGGCCTATATGGGAAAAGAATCTAAAAAAGAGTGGATATATGTATATGTATGCCTGATTCACTTTGCTGTGCACCTGAAACTAACACAACATTGTAAATCAACTATACATCAATAACAATTAAAAAAAAAAGAAAAAAAAAGGAATGAACACTTGCAAAGAGCAGTCCTTAGGTCCTCCCGCTCACCCTCGGATCTGTAACAGTGATCCTGCCTTCCTTGGGGAACAGTAACGATACTTATTCACCTATATCCCCAGGGTCAGAAAAAGTACAGCTGACCAGGAGGAAAGGTACTGCTCTGACCTTATTCATACTTTACCTTCTACATGAGAAATAAATGTGAATAGGAGGTTAAGTTTCATGTGTAAGTCATACGAGACTCAAGAGCCCTACCCAGGTTTTTCTTCTTTCCTCTCTCAAATCCAGTCTAAAACAAAAAAAGTCAAAAGCAGAAATATGATACAGAAGATGCAAGGTTTTAAACAGAATGAGCCTGAATGTCACGTTGCAAGTACTGAAAGTAAGGAGTTGTAGGAGAGCGATTTCTTTATCACCCATCAGATAATTACACTACAAGAAAAGGAGTGATCAATTATGAGCTACTGTCTTAAAAACATGGTACGGAGAGTGGGAGGGAGGTTAAAAACGGTGAAGGCTTGACAGTGACTCATGTTCCTGGCAGCTTAGTGACTATATTTCAAACTTGAGATGGGAGGGGAGGAAAAAGAATATTCTTGTTATAACTCTTTTTAACATTCCAACAGATATGGCTGCCAGCAGTCAGAAGGCACACGCTGGACACAGCACCTAGAGGCAGACTAGTGGAGAAAAGGCACAGGACACCAAGCATGATGACACACAATGAGAGAAACACCAAGTTCTGCGGGAGGGGAGGCAGGGAGAGAAGGATTTTCAAAGAAGGAGAGATCACCTCTTGCTGAAGGAAAATCAGACAAGGTTTGGAAGGAAGAATGGACATTTTGGACAGAGAGGAGGTGGGGAGGAAGTCATTGAAAGTGAAGATCACGGTTGCACTTTATTCAGTTGTGTAGACCAAGGCCTGGAGTGGTGCCTGGTGCACAGAAACAGTCGCTTGATTAAAAATTGTTCCTTTTTTGAACCCACGAGGTATGTATACAAGTATTCACTGAATTGTCCTTTCAGATTTTACATTTGAAAACTTCATGAGGAAAAGAACAGCCTGCCCCACTAGAGATGCAGGCAGAGGGGCAGCAAAGTACAAACAGGCATGTGCAGGAGAGCATGTGGTCCATTTTACAACAGTTTAAGACAGGTATTCACAAAGTGTGTGTAAGAAAGAAGGCCACAGAGGTGGCTGAAACTAGTATGGGGCTAAGGAGTCTGGCAGGTAACATGGAAGAAAGAGGCTCACAGGTCCACATCAAGACCCATAAACATGGCAAGAGTGCACAGATGGATCTGAGTGGGAGTCAGCTGGCGGTAGGGAGACCAGGGAGAAATTTATAGCAGTGCATCCAGCAGAGAGGGTGACTCTCAGTGGTGACACTGAGAACAGAGAAGAAAGGGAAAAAACTCATAAAATTTAAAAACGGATCCATACATGGAACGACTGGGAGGGAAACTAAAAGGTTTCAGACTTGTGGGAAGGAAGAATGGTGATGATATCACTAACCAAAATGGCGCAGTGAGGAGTAACTTAGGGACGAGGATACAAAGACAGTTTTGGACATGACTATAATGTTGGCTTTATCCTTGACCTAGAAACAGCCCAGGCCAAACATCTTTGCAAAGCCCTAACTAGAGGACTCTTGACACAATGTGTCCCTCTCCTGGAGTCTCACAGCGCTTTGCAAAGATCACACTATATTTTAACCATCCTTTGTTAAAATCCATCTCTACGTGATGATAAAGCGAGAAATCATCTTGCCTCCTCTCCCACCCTCTCCCTGGACAAGGTCATCTTGGACTGCACGGCACGGCACAGTGGCTAAAATCACAGGCTCTTCCTGCAAGGGGCAACTATGCCGTCTACTAACTTCACGCCCCCATGGGTAGGCTGATCACTCTAAACCTTAGCACTTCAAGCCTAAAATGGGACAAGGGCTTCTCGCTTGGGCTTCATCTTCCTCTGCCCAGCCCGCCTCCAGAAACCACCTTTTTCCCCCAGCAACACTCACCTGGGACATAATTGATTCCACAGTCGATGACTATTGCCCCAGGTTTGATCCATTCCCCTTTCACCATTTCAGGCTGACCAGTTGCAACTACCAGGATGTCACCTTTACTTACCTAGGGAAAGACAGTTCTGACTTCAGAAACTAAACAGTGAAACATAAAAAAAATCTAGAAGTGGAAAGGACATCCGTAAGCTTTGTATGAAATTCTTCATTGTCGTCAGCTATTTTATGCAGGCCACACACTGTCTCTGACAGCTCTTCATATACTGTGCTCATTCCTACACACGTCAAAACCTCCCCTTTCACTAGATATTTTACTGAATGGGGAACCTGATGAGAACCTTTGAGACAGGGAGGAGTACAGGCTTGGAGCCACAGGCCTGGGACAACGTCCCTGAATTACATGACACCTGGAGACTGCCCCCTCTTCCCCAGAATGTGGGGACCACCACCTTCAGCAGAGCATTGCTTGGGGAGGATTAAAGAGGTGCTGGGCCTCTCTTCTGGTCTGTCGCCACATTTAAGAGACTGCACTGTCAATGGGATGATTCCTGGGAGTCATTCCTGGGAATTCCTGGGCTCAGGAATCTGATGCAGGGGTCAAGAACAAGCTGTGACCGAGGTCACAAGACCACTGTCCATAACCTGCTCTGGACACCTCCACCTCTGAGACCACCCACTGTCGCATATGTGGGATCTGGCTGCCATGGGTCAATCCCAGTTCCTATACTGCTAACCCCTCTATCTACCATGAGATGGACTGGCACAGAAAGAATACAGTCCAAACAAAAATCTGCATAGACTTGGACAAGTTTTAAATTTGAATTTGTTTCTTCATCTTGTAAAACAGACAAGAATCACAGAATTGTTAGAGGGGTTAAACGCGGTAATGAGGTAATAAAGTACATGGCAGCTTCTGGCACTTAAATATGAACCATCCCCATTAGGCAAGAACCCCTGCCACACGCAGGAACGGGCATGCAAACGCGTGCGCGCGACCCCTTACCTCCTCGCCTAGGTGGGCAGTCTTGGAGTGGCAGGTGGTCACTGTGGCGTGGCTCCACAGAAGCAGGTCATGCATTGGGGCACCAACTATTTTACTGCGCCCGACCACCACAGCGTGCCTTCCAGCGATCTGCACCCCTGAAAGAAAAGCCAGTGTGCATCAGAGAACTGGGGGAAGCTGCCCTCCTTCGCATGCCACCTAAATGGGAGAACTCAGGACAAGTGCACAAAAGCAGGTTCTTAGCATCAAAAAGCAATCTTCCTAAAACCATCCCTTCGTTGGCTACTCAGGGTTTCAGCTACAAGTTGGGACTTGTACATGTGTCCTTCTTGCTGTGGGTTTCTGAGAGGAGCTTAAGCCAAGATCCATTCGTCGAGCCATAGGAGAGTGGGGAGAAAACCTGCACTCAAATCAGAAAGAAACCCTGACATACAGCTAAACAGCCATATGGAAGAAGAGGACATATTACATTACATGGGAAAAACAGTTATAAGAAACAGGGTGAACGTAATGGGGTGGAGGGAAATTAGATTAGTATCAGTAACTCTTTAGTTCCTCATCCAAATTTCTCTTTTGGCTTAGGGCCTGAGCCACAGGGTTATTTGCAGGGAAGTGATAAAGGGGAACTTAACTGTAGTAAAAAATTTTCTTTTTGTTTACTGAGCACCCATTCTTCTGGCATTATCCCAATGTCCTTTTCAGGACTGACACACTCTCCTCAGTAGAGATGGTGTGGGTGAACACCCAAGAGTGAACAAGTGACCATATTTCATCCCCTGGACAATGAGATCCATCCCATGACTCTTAGGCACAAGGATGCAACAGGCTGGAGCTGCTCGGGGCCACCAAGTAGAGCTCAGAATGAGCCACCACGCAAAGGGGAGCAGAAATAAGGTCCTGAGGACTCTACTGAGCCCTTCTACCCAGCCCCACTGAAGCGAACTCTTCCTTAAGGCAGTTTGTGTTTAAACTGTGCTTCTTGTGTAACATTAACTCTATCCAAAAAAGGCAAGTTTCTGTATAATGCTAACATCATGAATCTAGAAGTAAAGCCCTCAAAGTGTGAAGTGTTTAGAAGGTAACTTTCTATACTTTTTAGGGTACAGTAAAGGACCTGAAGCTGCATTAGGGCAAATGGTTGCTTCAATATCAACAAGAGGAGGTGGGGAGCCTACAGCTGCCACGGCTCATGGGATTTTTTTTCTATCAAGTTGGAACACACTGTGTGCTAAACATGCCGTAGAGTATAAATTCTGCTGTAGGACTGAACAATAATAGCTGTCCGAAGGCTTACAGATTGACCTTTCCTTGCCAGCCACAGAAAGTTTTCACGTACGTTAGCTAACATTTTCCACTTTAAATTTCTGATCCACTTCTTTTAAACAGGGCACACTTCCTTGTAAAAAATAACCTCTGCTAACAAGTATTCATGATGAAATTAAAATACCAAGAGGCTGACTAGGTAACAGGGTAATACAGCCAATTATCCAAGGAATCCATTTCCTAGATCTACAACGGTGACTTGGGGCCCATTCTGGGATTCAGACTTTTCACTCTGCACACTACAGACTATCTGAATCTTTATTATCATATAGGTTACTTTTTCACACAAAATAAATTGCTTTGAACTCAAATAACTCTGAGTTCAAATCTTGGCTCTGCTGCCTCTTGGACAAATTACTCAATCTCTCTGAGAATGTCTTCTCAGCTATTAAACAATAAGAATATCTACCTACTTCATAGGGTTGTTGAGAAAATTGAGAATTTAGGTAAAGAAGCCCCTAGCACACAGGTCCTGTGCCAATCAAGCCCACTTATTTAGGGCTCACAGTGTATCTCCCCTATACCTCTGAAGGTCAAGACCAGGCTCCATGAAATGGTGCTTTTTGTCTGTTTGTTTTTACCTGTCTCCTTGATGAGTTCCAAGCATCCTTTGGGTGTACAAGGGATGAAACAGTCATTTAGGTCACCTCTAGCAAGTTTTCCAGCACTGATGCTAGTCAATCTAAAACAAGGAAAGTGATAGGTGTCTTTACTCTTTAGAACCAAAATGATGTGTTCCTGAAGTAGAAATATATTATAGTCGCAATCATGCAATATGGTACAGAAAGCCAAGTCACACTCACCCGTCCACATCCTTTTCGGGTGCAATAGCATTGACCAATGCTTCAGTGTTAATGGGATTCTCTGAATCTAAAGGTAGCTGCACTATGAAACCATGCACATTGAGGTCTTCATTCAAAGATGTAATGCACTTTAACACCTAAAAATAATACCACATACAACTTATATACCACATAGAAATCAACAGGGTGGAGAAACACTTTCCAAGTCAGAAGTCCCATTTTCCCCCCAAGAGTTTAACTGTAGTCCTCTCAGAATGTACCTTGCCTTGGATCCTGAGAGCAACTCTACCTTAACACAGAATGTAACCTTCAGGTGTCTTGCAAGAAATCCAACAAACAGAAGAGCTAAGAACTTTAATAAACTATTACTGCAACAGTAAAATCCATGGTACCATCACCCAGGTCAAGATTTCTGTGATGACAGAAATGTTCTGTAATTTGTACCTTACAATAGTGGCTACTAAAATACTTGAAATGTGGCTTGGTTCAACTGAGGAACGGAATTTTAAACTTTATTTCGTTTTAATTAAATGACCACATGGGGTTAGTGGCTATCCTGCTGGACAATGCAGATGTAGAACATTTCCACGACCTCAGGAAGTCCCTTTTCCCTCCTGCCGCTTCCCAGTTAATCCCCCACAGTTCTGACTTTACTAACCAATGATCTGTTCTGCCTATTCTTGAACATCACAGAAATGAAATATACATTTCATTTTTCAAGTGCAGGTAACAACAGGACAGTGATCAGTTTTCAATGAACATCGCAGGTGATTTGCAAACAAATGATGCAGCAATCACACTGTGAGTACCAAACATTCATACCTAGCACTGCCCCATTTACTCTGTGGGTATTTTCAAAGATTTCCTGAAGGCTGAGTCTGTGAAGAAAGAATTACCTGGAGGTTTCTTGTATGCTGAATGCATCAGTCCCTAAAGTTGCACTAAACTAAAACCAGAGAGGAAAGCACTTCAGCTGCCCTCTTAACAGTTGATTCTTAACAGCTCACCTCAGATTCTGTGGCCGTTCGCGGTAACTTAATGTGCGTGGCTTTGATCCCGATCTGCAAGAATGAACATTTAAAACAGGTGCATGGCAAAAGGACTTGGGACATGGGCCCATTTCTTCTACAGATGTGACTAAGACAAACCAGGAGGTGGCAGGCATCATTTCACCCTCATATATCCTGAAGAACGAGTCTCTCACTTTGACCCATCCATCGTTTACTTGTTAACTGTCACCACGGCACTTAAGCAGTTTTATGCCCACTATTCCTGCTCTTTGTTTTTTGTTTTGTTTTGTTTTGTTTTTGCGGTATGCGGGCCTCTCACTGCTGTGGCCTCTTCCGTCGCGGAGCACAGGCTCCGGACGCGCAGGATCAGCGGCCATGGCTCACAGGCCCAGCCTCTCCACGGCATGTGGGATCCTCCCGGACCGGGGCACGAACCCGTGTCCCCTGCATCGGCAGGCAGACTCTCAACCACTGCCCCACCAGGGAAGCCCTATTCCTGCTCTTTAGAAGCAAGCAGATCACTGATTAGAAAACATTCCAGGGCAAACCAGAGGCTGAAGCTCTGTCACCCATTTCTAACTTGCAAAATACATAAACTGAAGTCTGCTGTGGGCGATAAAAGTTTTTGTGGGGGGAGCACAAAGGGGAAGGGGTGGCAGATAGGACCTGGGGAGGGGGAGGGGTAAGAGTGGAGGGCGGGGGCATTGGTGCCGCTGTTCTGGGCTTTACCTCTTCAGCAGCCTTCAGCTTCACATTTATATAAAGATTAGAATCATCTCTGTTGCCAACCTAGAAAAATAAAAACATGCAAATCAGACGATTAGGGAAAGGCAAAGTGTATGGAAAAGCTTCTAAAATTTTAGTTTTGATAAAAGGAATATTTAATCACGAGACTCCTGTTAGGGTGGACCTAATCCTAGCTCACACGGAAGAGACGCCCACGCCAGGCAAAGGGCAGTCTGCTGCCCTCAAGACAGAGGAAGACGCAGAAGCCAAATCCCCTGCCCCACCATGCTAGGTCTCACTATGTTCCCTGTTTCTTTAATCATGGACATATTTAGTTTTCCATTGTAATCATTTATCTAAAATTTTCCTTTACAAATATTTTCCCACGTTTTGGTGGTTGACATTTGTCCTTTTCAAAGTTGAAACGTCCTCTCGGGGTGATATGCCACAATAAGTTTGGTTTTTCCCAAAACTGCAGAGGGAAAAACGGTACGTCCTTGACACCAAAGGTAACTGATGCATGGTTGCTTTAAACAGGACAACTGTGGAGAAAGAATCTGGCCCTAGGAACAGAGTATCTCCAGGTCTGGTCACGCTGATGCTGTTACTGGAAGCTCCGCTCAGGCTCACAGAACACGGCCTTACTCTTAGCTGCAGGTGTCCTTTATAGAGAAGTCTCAGTTTTGCCAGTGCTAATTTGAATTTCAAGAGCCAGATGAATGCGGTGAGGGGAATTTGATTTTTCTATGGGTTATTTGCACCTAAGTGCATTAGGTGCTTCCTGTGGGGCTTCCCTAGAATTTTAGTGCCTCTCATGTTTCGTTTTCGTCATTTTATATATATGACCTCTGCCCCTATCATCCAACCTTCATTGATTCAGTTACCAGATTTAATACACTCTGGGATTTTTGGATCAAAGTAGGAAACAGAGTACTGTTTTTTCATTTTTATTAATATTGTAAGCAAAGAATTTTGCCTGCCATTTCAGTTCTGTAAGGATCAAGTCATTAGCCCCTGCAGTTGCTGACCTGCAAGTACACCCTGAAAGGAATTCAGGGTGCAGCATTCCATGTTTTGGAATATACGGGCCCCTTAGATAGTTCAAATGCATGTCTTAGGAAGAATTTCAATGACCCCAGATTCTTGCATCTTCCCACACATAGAAAAGCCCTAAAAGTATTAACTGAGGGGACTTCCCTGGTGGTGCAGTGGTTAAGAATCCACCTGCCAATGCAGGGGACATGGGTTTGAGCCCTGGTCTGGGAAGATTCCACATGCGGCAGAGCAGCTAAGCCTGTGAGCCACAACTACTGAGCCTGCGCTCTAGAGCCAGCGAGCCACAACTACTAAGCCCGTGTGCCACTACTGAAGCCCACGCACCTAGAGCCCATGCTCCGCAACAAGATAAAACACTGCAATGAGAAGCCTGTGCACCACAACGAAGAGTAGCCCCCGCTCACCACAACTAGAGAAAGCCCGCGTGCAGCAGCGAAGCCTGACACAGCCAAAATTTAAACAAATGAATAAATTTATTTTTTAAAAAAAGTATTAACTGAGATAGCTGATCCTGTGACCAGCAGTAGCCTTTCACTGAGATCTTGACTGCCTGTATCTCCCAGCCCAAATTCACACACACACACACATTATCTATATACTGGCTCCTCCCCTACCTCTTTGGAGCAGTTTCTCTGAGCAATTAGAGACTGTCACTGTCTCCTAGGCTATAGCACTCAGTAAGACACTGAATAAACTCAACTCACAGCTCTCACGTGGTACGTTTTTTAAGTTGACAATATTTATAACTACAATTAGTTATTACGACTTAACTCGGAGATTAAATGGTTTTATCACTCACTGCCGGTTTTTTTTTTTTTATATAAATTACAACTTCTCTGTTCTATGCTTTATCTTCACCTCTCACGTAGCTAAATGCAACTGTAAGTCACTTTTCCAGGAATGGCGTGTGGGCATTTTCCTGAGTCTGTGTGCACCTGAAAATATTTCTCTGCTGTCTTTGCACTTGAAGGCACGTTTGGCTGAGTTTGGAGTCATGACATTTTCCTTCAGAGTTGCTGTCTTTGGCATCTAGTGTGACAGAAGTCTGAAGTCTTTTGTTGTTGTTCCTTTATAGGTAACTTTTCTGTCTGAATATTTCTGAAGGAATTTTTCTGAAACTCCAAAACTACCACCAGTTTTTTAACAGAAAGCTTAACAGTTATGAGCATATGTCAAAATCTTACTGTAATCCTAATGCAAAGAAAAAGACCTCTTAAGATCCAGTTCAAATATTCTCATCTAGGCATTTCATAGGGAAAAATGGTTATATAATCATTGATAGACTGGATGCAAAAAGAATGTTCAGTTGAAGAACAGTAGATTCTTGACTGACAGGCAAGTGGGTGGATGGCCTACTGGTTTCCCAGAACAAATCTTAATCCCATTATAGTTTATTAAAAAAAAAAAATCACTTAAGCATTTTATCAGAAATACCAATTTCTTCCTTGAAGGAGGTGAATTACATCATCCAAAAAACGTCCTATTCAGACAGAAAAGGAAGTGGGCAGGGCACAACCATTACAAGAATGACACAACCATTAAGAACAGGATACCACAAAAACTGGTTAGAACACATTAGGTCCAAGATGGCGGAAGAGTCTACTTCCAGTGGACCTTGAGCCTCATTATACACTCATTGTAATACATTAGCATATGCTAAATGACACACCCATGGGTGCCATGACAGTTCCGAGGCTGACCATAAAAGGCCCAAAAGCAGCATGATGGCCCAATTCCTGGAAGTCCCTGCCCCACCTCCAAAATACCTGGACTAATCCTCCCACTTGTTTGCCTATGAAATTACCCAGCCCATAAAAACTAGCCACCCTCACACCACGGAACCACTCTCTCCTTTTAAGATGGCCTACGCTGTCTATGGAACGTGTACCTCTCTAAATAAACTTGCTTTCACTTCACTATGGCTCACTCTTGAATTCTTTCCTATGCAAGGCCAAGGACCCTCACCTGGCAGCCTGTCTGAGGGACTCACCCGAGACCTGGGATATGACCATCCTCTTGTGCCCCATTTTTCCTACAACACTATCTTGGAACAAGTTAGGGATTTTTTTTTTTTTTTTTTTTTTACACCAGGAATCTACAAACTGTTTCTGTAAAGGGCCAGGCAGCATATATTTTAGGTTTTTCAGGCCACATACTCTGTCATACCTTCTTTTTTAACCATTTACAACCTGAGCAGTTTTGGACATGGGCCACAGTTTACCAATCCCTGTTTTACACCATAAAATATCTTGGGTATTGGTCTACTGATTAATTTTTCTTCTGCTCCAGGAGCCTTTTGTAAACATTCAGGCCAATTGAGTTTATTTTTTTTGTTTTGTCCATGTCTTTTGTGAGGACTGAATAATTTACTATCTATAAAGCGCTTTAGGGCTTCCCTGGTGGTGCAGTGGTTAAGAATCTGCCCGCCAATGCCCGCAAGCCACAACTACTGAGCCTGTGCTCTGCAACAAGAGAAGCCACCACAATCGCACACCGCCAAGGAAGAGTAGCCCCTGCTCGCTGCAACTAGAGAAAAGCCCATGTGCAGCAACGAAGACCCGACACAGCCAAAAATAAATAAATTTATAAAAAGCACTTTAAATAATACCTGGTAGGAAGCAAATGTTATTATATTATTAATAACTATTTTATGGAAATGCAGCCTCATTTGTACCTCTCTTTTTTTTAAAAATTTTTATTCATTTTTGGGCTGCGTTGGGTCTTCGTTGTGGTGCATGGGCTTCTCATTGTGGTGGCTTCTCTTGTTGCAGAGAATGGGCTCTAGGTGTGTGGGCTTCAATAGTTGTGGCTCGTGGGCTCCAGAGCACAGGCTCAGTAGTTGTGGCACACGGGCTTAGTTGCTCCGCAGCATGTGGGATCTTCCCAGACCAGGGCTCAAACCCATGTCCCCTGCATTGGCAGGTGGATTCTTAACCACTGCGCCACCAGGGAAGTCCATCATTTGTATCTCTTGTGATGAAAAGCCAAGTCTTAATTTCCATTAAATATTTAACTATTTGTAAGTTATCAGTCCGCTGTTTTAAAAGAAATTCCAACTTGTAGGTATATATGCCTGGACCAGATCCTGAATACCCTTAATACAATGCTAATGAATTAGAAAAACGAATGGGAAAAGCAAATTGATTTTGGAGACAGATAGAGCTGGGTTCATATCCAGACTCAGTACCTTCAGGTCTGTGGCTTTGGGCAAGCTACCCAAGATCTTTGACCACCAGTTACTGTTACTGAACACAAGTTAGGGTGCTCCAGGCACAGTGAGGCCAAACAAACTGAAATGTCGGAGTTTGGAGCAAAGAAAGGTTTATTGCAGGGCCAAGCAAGGAGAATGGGTGGCTTGTACTCTAAAACCCCAAACTCCCTGATGGTTTTGAGGGAAATGCTTTTATAGGCAAAATTTGGGTTGAGGGCTACACGGTGTGTGACTTTCTTTTGATTGGTTGATGGTGAGGTAACAGGGCTGTATTCCAGGAATCTTGTGCTCAGCCTGTAGTTGCCATCCTCCACCTGGGGGTCTCAGCTCTTCAGAAGAACTCAAAGATATTGTTATGTATATTCCCTGAGGAGGAACTAGGACCCTGCCCCAAGGCTGTGCTACACCACTGTTTCTAGACTGTTCCTCCCATGTTTCTGCATCCCCTCCCTTCCCTGATTAGCAACTGTTTGAATCTGTCCTATGGAACTCAGGGAAGGTCAAGGAGGCTGAATGAAGCCTATTTCCAACAAACAAGATATGGGGGACACAGGAAGGATTTGTACCAGGGAGGGCCCCACAGGGTCCTGCTCGGTTTCATACATCTCCCATCTTGTAGGGGTAGTATAAAAATCAGAACCACTCGTAATATATACAAATCATTTGAACTACAGCAGTCACTCTACATAAGCAGTACTGTTGTTCCTTCTGTAAAGGATGGGGAGAGTGGGTGTAGCTGGATGGCAGATTTGCATTTTGACAAGGGCTACATTTGCAGTTAAAAGGACTGAAAGCATCCAGATCAGAAGCCTGTAAGCAGTTGACCAGTGGCCCAGAGGGAGGGAGCAGTAGAAATCAAAAGGAGGGAAGATATCCCAAGAGCTTATGAGAGGCATTACCAATAGGACCTTAGTCCCTAAGGGGATGTAGAGAGCAGGGAGATGCCCAAAAGAGACAGCTCAGGTTTCTAGTTTGAGTGTGTGGGAAAATGGTGGTGCCTGTCACCAGGATGGAAAAGAAACAAGAGGTCTGAGGTGGCACAGATGTGATTACAACATAATCTGTGAGCCTTGCATCATAGAAAGATGTTGATTCTGGTGCTAAAGTACAAGATTAATATATTCTACCACTGTTTTATTGCAAGGACATAAGAAACAAGCTGCAGAACAGTGTTTATGTAACAAAAACACTTTGCAATCAATAAATTTAAAATAGGAGTTTGGAAGTCAATTTTTAAAAAGCAGGAAAAAAAACCCCTCGATATTGCTACAAAAAGGTTTACAGAAACATATTTCTTGTCTACGACATTTACTCATTCTACAACAAACAATTCACAAGAATAAGCCAAGAAATAACTGGTCCCACAAAAGTACCAAGTGGACATCCACAACATATACCTTCGATTCTTAGTAATTTGCAAAAATGGAAAATCCACCACAGCACAGGACATACCAGGCAGAACGACAGGCCTTCTGTGCTTTTCTTCTCAACTAAGGCCTCTCAGATAATGAATAGCAATGGTGGAAAATATTTAAGTACTATTCACTCTGAAATTCTTGATGAACATGGATCAGAAACTTAGCAAGGGATTAAATGATATACATGGAGACATACATACAGAGAGAAATGTGAAGTGAGGAAGCAGGTGTTTCTGAAGGGAATTTCAAATGCAAGCTATCAGTTTCCTGTCATCCCAATCAACCCTTCAAACATTCATTTGTACATCTGGCCACATGACACATATTTATTAAATACCTCCTGCCTATTTATTGAAGGCCTCTTACTGGATGAATCTGGAGCTCTTGAAAGAAACCTCAGATAAGTATTCTCCCATGTAGCTATGGGACTGGGGGAGCTCACTTAGGGAAAAAATAAGGTAGAAAAGAAGTCTGAGGGCTGAGCGTTGAGGTATTCGAGTGGTCTAGGTATCAGGAAGGTATCAGGAACAACAAGCAAAAAAGATTAGAGAAGGAGTGATGTCCTAGAAGCCAAGAGCCTAGAACCAGAAGAGATCCAGGTTTACAAGTTCCTGACCTACAGCTGATATCTGGGGTCAGATAAAACTGCGTAAGGCAATGGTTCCCAAAGTGCGGTTCACACACTTTTGCCGGAACCCCAACACCCTTTCAGAAGATTTGCGAGTGCCATAATACTATGATGTCATTTGCCTTTTTCACTGTATTGACATCTGTATTGAGGCTGCACAAGTTAGGCTGTGTAAGACTGCTGATGACTTAGCACTAAATCAAGACAATGGCACCAACCTGTACTAGTCACACAGTCTCAGTAAAAAAAAAAGACACCAATTTCACTTAGAAGTGCTCTTGATGAAGCAGTAAAAATTATTTTTATTAAACGTTGACCCTTGAGTACATGTCTTTTTAATATTCTGCATAAAGAATGGGGAAGCAATCACAAAGCACTTCTGCCGCATACAGAAGTGGTTGTCACCAGGAAAGGCACTTGAGCTTTCTTGCCTTGCAAGCAGAACTAGCAGATTTTTAAATGGAGCACCATCTTTACTTAAAAGAACAACTGACAAATAATGATTATTTGGGCTTGAATATTTGGCAAATATTTTCTCAAAATTGGATAAAGTGAGCCTGCTACTTCAAGGAAAATAAGTAATAGTATTAATTACCAATGACAAAATTTGAGCTTTCAAGCAAAAATTGGTATTTACGTACTCCTGTGAGCTTGACAACTTCTCAACACTTAAAGACTTTTCTGATAAGTTTGTTGGTGATATTAATGATTATGATTTTTAAATATTGCATAATGAAACGTGTTAACATTTGGAAGACCTGCATAATTCAGTGAACCATTATTTCCCAAATGGGGAATGAAGGACATAACAAAACCAGACACAGGTAAATAGCCATTCAAACTGCAACATGAAACAAGATTTTGATTTAACAAAGTATGAAAGTTCACTGATAACAGTTTCAGAGTCCACACTGCAACTACCTTTTAAAAACTTTACTTACTGAGTGCTTATAGTATTAAAGAAAAATATCCACAACTATCTGGGAAGACTATTAAAAGAACTCTTCCTTTTACAACCATATGTCTGTATAAGGTCAGATGTTCTCCATATATTTCAATCAAACCAGCATAGCAAGAAATTGAATATAGAAGTAGATGGGAATCCAGCTGTCTTCGATTAAGCCAGACAGTACAGGGTTTTGCAAAAATGTAAAACAATGCCCCTCTCCTCACTCAATTTTGTTTCTAAAAGTTACTTTGTCATAAAAATGTTACTTATGCTAACACACAGTGAGCTTACTCTTGGCATTTTTAAATATACAAATGCCTTTAAAACTCTTAGTTTTAATTTATAAATAGTATATATCAATGGATAAATCCGTATAAACGAAAGTTTACTGGTGTAAAGGGGTCCTAAGACCGAAGGTCAAGAGATACTGGATTAGGGAAAGGTACCCACAGAGAACAGTAGAGGGCCAGGACAGGCCAACACATAGAAGTTGAGCTGAAGAGGAGGAGCCTGCAAAGAGAAACTGAAAAGGTCTGAGGTTTCACAGAAGCCAAAAAAAAAAGAGGAAGAGCTTTGATGTGCCTGTTGTCTTAAATGCTATCGAGAGATTGAGAAAGGAAGAAAGATATTAGTAGAAATACACTATCACAATACCTGTAAAATTGCCAGACCTGGTGTGAAACCAGGTGCTTGCTCCTTCATCTGAATGACTTGGTTCTTCAGTCTCTCCCTGATTTGCCTAGAGAAACAGGAAAAAATTGGAGTTAACATTTAATGTTTCAAGCCACAAATAAAAAATGTGTATTACTGGATGTATTTCTCTTTTAAATTAAAAACACCTTAATTAACAGACATTATCTGATATAATATGTACCCTGTACAACCCATCAGTTTTCCAGGCCTCAAGTAGACATGGATCTTTTCTAACTCTTACTGACACTGACTGGGCCATGGGGTATGGGCCAGTTTAAGACATACTAGTTGAATATATAAAATAGACAATCAACAAGGACCTACTATATAGCACAAGGAACTCTACTCAATATTCTATAATAACCTAAATGGGAAAAGAATCTGAAGAACAGATACATGTATATGTATAACTGAATCACTCTGCTGTACACCTGAAACTGAAACATTGTAAATCAACTAACTCTAATATAAAATTAAAAATAATTAAAAAAAATACTAGTTGATGGCATTCCAAATCATACAGTGAACAAATAAAAACTTGGACCAACACTTCTGGAAGGCTGCTAATCCTCATCTTTTTCAGCCTTTCCACTCTTCAGGTGCCGGAGGAAAAACGTTTGCGGGAAAGAACTCAAGCTCACACCTTCTGCTCAACCTACCCTACATAGTAAGATGATCACAGGGTATCCACATAAGGCTGAATGATAAATCAATGAATCCCACTCTGAATTCAATATGAATTTACAAATTATATCCTAATTCACAAAAGAATTTTCCTTACTCAAGGTTGAAAGTATAACCTCATGTGAAACAAAGATACATCAATTTACTAACACACAACTCTCAACAATACAATAAGACATCAAATAAGTTACATTACATCTATAAGTAAACATTCAAAGTAGTCCAACCTTGTCCAGTTACGATACAGTTATTAACTTGAACAGGATCTGTCTCTCCTGAAGAACCAGTTTTGTCATTTATCTTTTTTCATCCTAACCACACTTGACAAACAAATATACCCGGACATTAGCAAGCATCTCTTCCCTCATCCTAATTTGGTTACTCCCTTCCCCAGTTCTCCACACTTGACAAATATCTGGCATAAAAAGGCACAGGAGTCACAAAAATAGATTATGTGTATTAGCCTAGTAAACAGTAAGAATGTTGAAAGATACAAGAAGTCATACCGAAGACTTCAAAATCATCTAAGCTAATAGCCTTGTTTTTTCAAATCAGTATTCTATAAATCGTATCATTCAAAAGAAGTATTAATGGACTGTTGGATTTCCTTTTACTGGGATTTGACCTGAACAGAGTACACAATTCTGCTCTGACACAAGAAAACAGGAGATACTATAGCTGCCAAGTTTTCCCTAGGCTGCCATTGAAACTCCCCAGCAGTTCCAGCCACAGCTGTTTCTCCTGCATGATGATCAGAAGTGCTGCCCGGGGAGCTGCAGAAGGTCTGTCTCTCCCAGGGGCCAAGTTTCCAGACTCCACTCTCTCCTCTCCCCTTCCTTCCCCCAACCACTGTATGATCACAAAGTGCTAGGCAAAGGTTTCCACTGCTTCTCCTTAACCCTCTGGACCCAAACAAAACCCACGGTTTGGGGTGGGGGTGGGGGTGGGGGTAAAGACCCCACCATTCCTGGCACAATGTGAGACAGTAAGGAGACAGAACAGTGAGAAGAAGTGAACACGTCTGAGACTCTCAATAACCCACTGAAGTACGCGAGGGAGAAAAAGCTTTCTTATTCCTGCTCACAGATGTAGACACGGGCTCTAAGCAGTCAGGTCGGGTGGCTTTCCCAGGTCCAATTTACAGAAAGAACAGCAAGTGCAAAGGCCCTGAGTGTGTAATTGAGGCCCAAGGGGAAGCAGTAATCAAATGAGGTATACAGTCATTTATTCGGAATGTGATGGGAAGCCATTAGAGGGTTTTCAACAGGGCTGACATGATTGGACTTACATTTTTTTTTAAATAGATCTTTATTGGAGTATAATTGCTTCACAATACTGTGTTAGTTTCTGTTGCACAACAAAGCGAATCAGCCATATGCATACACATGTCCCCACAACCCCTCCCTCTTGAGCCTCCCCCCCATCCTCCCTATCCCACCCGTCTAGGTCATCGCAAAGCACCCAGCCGATCTCCCCGTGCTATGCTGCTGCTTCCCACCACCCATGTATTTCACATTTGGTACTGTATGTATGTCGATGCTACTCTCACTTCACCCCAGCTTCCCCCTCCCACCCCATGTCCTCAAGTCCATTCTCTACGTCTACCTCTTTATTCCTGCCCTGCAACTAGGTTCATCAGTACCAAGAATATGGAACACTTCATGAATTTGCATGTCATCCTTGCACAGGGGCCATGCCAATCTTCTCTGTATCGTTCCAATTTTAGTATATGTGCTGCCAAAGTGAGCCCTGGGCTTACATTTTTAAAGGATTATTCTGGCTGCTGAATTGGGAACAGACCCGAGAGGGAACGGTGAGAATCAGGGACAGCAGCAAGAAGTCACTGCAATTGCAAAATCCAGGCCAGAGGGGATGGTGGCTTGGATTAAGGTACCAGTGGTAAGCTGGCAAGAAGCAGATGTATTCTAGATATACTAAACATGAAACACAGAGGAAATGCCAGGGCTACAGATGACTCTCAGGTTCTGGGGTGTGTGAAATGGAGCTGGGAAGACGGACAACTACAAATACTTTAAGAACAGAGCAATTTCATACTGATACAGTGAATTTATTTACCAAATCTTATAAGGATTGTAGAATAAGTAAGCATTTGAGACCCAAGGAAGGAATCTAGGGACAAATAAAAATAATACTTACACCCAGCAGGTAGCAAGCTATAGGAACCCAGTACTACAAGGTGGTATAGGTGGAAAATGTTGTTTCAGCCCAGTAGGTTAAGAGCAAAGAACAAAATGTTCTGTATTTTCTATGCTATAATTTAAATGGGTCTAAGTACGCATTTTTTTTTCCCTAAAAAAGATTATAGCTTGAGATCAGTTATACTGACTCCCCTAAACTTTTTCTAAGAAGCAGGACTGTTTTAAGAGTTGCATTAGCAGGGATATTCTTCCAACTACCAAGATTTGTTTAAAAGCTAACACTTGGGCCTCTGAGATATGACCAGAATAGCAATGAGACATTTTTAAGTCTCATTTTAAGCCACAATCAGCAAGAACTAGAGAGCCCAGAACACTAAAGCAACCAATGGAAAATTTTCTGCTCTGGTGAGGAAAAAAGTAAAAAAATCAAGACAATTGTAATTACATCTCTGTTAAGTCCCTTAAAAATTTTTTCCTGCCTGGTTTTCTTGGTTGGCCACTAACCGAAGCACCTTAAAACGAAAAGTGGAATAACAAAAGTCAAGTGTCAGGTGTGTCTGAAGTTGAAGAAACTACAGAAGAAGAACATGGAGAGAAAAATTAATACTCCCTCCCTCGTCTATCTTTATTTTAGGGTCATAGAGCTGTGACGAATTAAATGGTGGGAACCCCTTTAATTTTTATAGCTCATTTCCAGCAAGTATAAATGCTATAATGGAACAACTTTCGAATCACTGAAACCTCCTAAATAAACAGAAACTTCCTTGAATTGCAGATGCCTCCCATTTCTATCCTCGGCCCCATGAGTTATACCATCCTGGTAAAGATTCTGGGGGCAAAGTGAGGCAGAAGTGGGCATGTGGAGAAACACCCCTGATCCCTGAATAGAACTACACATGCCAGTCACACCATCTTCCATCAACATTCTCTAAAATCTAAGGGAAGACATATCTCAATCTTGATGTAGGAGAAATCAGTACTAGAGTGCCAATGAAGGTAGCAGGACCAAGTAGCAGTAAACCATTGAAGTCTCTCTGGTCCTGATGGACAGATACTAGTAAAATAGTCATAGCTAATTAAACATGAACAGACACAGATGCAGTTTTAACTAAGTTGCTACTGGTATCTAGTGGGTAGAGGCTAGGGATACAATTACATATCCTACAATGCACGGGACAAAGAACAACAAAGAATTGTCCAGCCCAAATGTTAATAGTGCCCAAGGATGAGAAACCCTGCTACTGGCCAATAAAATGCAATGTTTGCGGTTATCTTTTCTAAGGTGCAAAAATCACAGTGGAAATCATTTATAGTTCAACCTGTCAAAATTTGTTTGAATCTCTATGGATAAGAGTTATTTGCGTGACTATCAGTTTTCTCCAAGTTGACTTCTCCCACATATAGTTGTCAAAGAGCCTAGTCAACAAAAGTAAAGGTGTACATCCCTACAGAATCGCATCACCCTTGAAGAGTCCTAGTCAGAGCCTAATATCTCTAACAGTCACCCAGATCTCTTGCCTCAAGTCTTATACAATTATTCCTCAAAAAGTCCACTATGAATTCCAACTCATTCTGTTTTACATAATGGCCTATTTTCAAATTTTGGACATTTTATGACTGAGAAAAAAAAAGCATTGCTAAAATATAACGTAACAAGGACATTTCAACAGAAGCTACAGGTAGGAAAAGGAGGCGGTAATGGGTATTCAGCTACATGGCTAAGAAATCTACATGACGGGAAAAAAGCTGCCCAGTCAACAAACACTGAAATGTAGCACAGGCTTAGAGGAATTTGCAAATGATCTTCAAAAGGTCCACAGAGGGGACTTCCCTGGTGGCGCAGTGGTTAAGAATCCGCCTGCCAATGCGGGGGACACGGGTTCGAGCCCTGGTCCGGGAAGATCCCACATGCCGCGGAGCAACTAAGCCCGTGTGCCACAACTACTGAGCCTGTGCTTTAGAGCCCGCGTGCCACAACTGCTGAGGCGCGCACACCTAGAGCCTGTGCTCCCCAACAAGAGAAGCCACTGCAATGAGAGGCCAGTGCACGGCAACGAAGAGTAGCCCCCGCTCAACGCAACTAGAGAAAGCCCGCGCACAGCAACGAAGACCCAATGCAGCCAATAAATAAATAAATTTTAAAAAAAAAGGTCCACAGAATAGGGCTTTAAGTAACTAATCAGAGAAAAATCAAGAACATTCA